ATGAACATCTCTTATCCAGATCTTTGGCTTACTGTGTTCTGCTCTGATATAACTGACTCACAGATCAAGGAATACTAGCAGCCCTAAACCAGATCAACAATCCTGGTATTAATCATCTTGGGAAAAGGTAGGGCAAAAAATTGGGAAAGGGGATTTCTGTTGCCCTCTGACTTTCTTTTCTTTCTTTTGCAACTTAACTGAGTCTTGAGGACTGATTTAAGCTGTTCATCCTAGGTGGTGAATAGTAGGAGGGCACCGGCACCTTTAAAACTCCAGGGGACACCACTTACGTGGACACAATGAAAACCACAGTAGTAGACACAACATTTGCCATATCTCTGCAGTTATGCGGCACTGGGTGATAGTCCTAAAGGCACTCATCAGAAGAGCAACTTAACTGAGTCTTGAGGACTGATTTAAGCTGTTCATCCTAGGTGGTGAATAGTAGGAGGGCACTGGCACCTTTAAAACTCCAGGGGACACCACTTACATGGGACACAATGAAAACCACAGTAGTAGACACAACATATGCCATGGCTCTGCAGTTGTGCAGCACTGGGTGATAGTCCTAAAGGCATTCATCTTATTGCTTTCTAATAAGAGGAAATAGGGCACTGTCCTTGCCTTCATGGTGCTTGTAGTTTAGCAGAAGATATAGACTCTTCCAGGCAATGACAAAACTGTGTTATAACAGAGTAAGTTCAGAGCACTCCAAAATATCAAGGAAAACTTTCTAGAGAAAGGAGATTAAGGCCTGAAACCCTAGTAGAAAGATGATCTGAGTGGGAGGTGAGCACCAGTTCACTGCTCTGAAGTTATACCCGAACATTTATCAAAATCTTGTGTAGTAGAAATAAAGGTGCTATTTCAGAATTCCTCTTATCAAAAACAAAACTGCTCTTTAATTTGGGAAAACACCCTTAACTAGGAGTTAAGAAGTTTAGAAGGTGTGATAAGCCCTATCATCACCAATTTTAGCCACATATAAGAAGTTTGTTTATTCAAAGAATAAGATTGTTCTGTATAGGACAGCAAAAGGTTTTGATGTTTCAACTGGAAGGGAGCACTAAAGGAAAAGTGGGATGGCTCAAAAACATTGCAGAGCAGGTGGTAGGGAGATGAGAGAGGAAAGGAAAAGTTTCGCCACTGGAAAATGCCTGGAAGAAGAGGGTGACTAAGAAAATTCAGGACACTTCTGTCTAGTATACCATTATAAATCTACTTCTGGTTCTATGCTATAATATAAATTTCTCCTTGCTGCCAGCACCCATCCACATGTCCTCACTGTCTACAATGGTTTTGTTTGTTTGGTGCTTTTGTGGAAGAAAAGGTACAGGGACAAAGTGTTATGGAAAAAGAGGATAACTATAAGAGGTGAGTGAGTGGTGACTGAGACGTAATCCCTACACCAACCCCCATGGGAATTTACAGAGATCTTGGTAGCATACTGAACTTCACATGGTCAAGGCACTAGGGGCAACCAGAAGCAGATGCTTGGGTTTCACATATTATGAAGAATCAATCTGGTCTTAGCTGTGTCATGGGAAACTTTCTAGCCTGAGCTGTAAAGGAGGAGGCAGCAGAGATTAGAGAGATTTCCTAGGGAAAGGGGAACCTTAGGGGGACAAGCACTAAGGTTCATGCTGGTTGCTTCCTTTCAAGTCCCCTGTTGGGCTCCTGCTTTGACACCACCATAGAAGCCTTAAAATCTTCTCCTTACCTTGAAGGAGGCTTTCAGCTGCTGTTCCAAGTCGAAGATCAGGTCGGCATGGGTACTGTGCTCCATAATCAGCATTCTCAGATTCCCCAGGGCATTCTGGACCCTGGAGACAAAATGTGCTGGTGAGGAAACCCAAAGGAGCAGGCGGTACATTGCAGGGTACAGGGCCACTCACCGCTGGGCCTTGTTCTTAATCTTCAGGATCATCTGTTGCTGCAGCATCAGGAAAGTGTCCAGGAAGTCTAAGAAGGTCTTGGGGGTGACAAGTGGCAATGCAGGGCACAGGTGCTCATGGTAGAGGGTGGCCGAAAGGTGAATAAGAGCCATGGCTTTGGCCACACTGGGAATTGAGGGCTGGAGGTCTGGGTACTTCCAGGAGCCTGCAATGGGCATGGCTTTAGCTTCACTTTGTGAGCTTGTAGGAAAATGGGAAAGGAAATGGATCCTCTCCTAGCTCAGGAAGAAGGGTAGAAAATGTGAAGGGGGCTCTGTAGGCAAGAGAGAGAGAGAGAGAGAGAGAGAGAGAGAGAGAGAGAGAGCGAGAGCGAGCCTGACCTAGGTAATAACCCTCATTAGAGCCTGGTAGAGATGTGTGGTAAGGACAAGTAAAAAGGGCTCACCGTCATCAAGGGGTAGACTCTGAGCACCCTCCAGGTGATGCTGGGCCACCTGGACCAGGGCGGCTTGGTCCCAGGGTTCATAGCGGTCAATGCTGGCAGTGGCCAGCTGAAGGAGCCTCAGGAAAAGGGTGGTGGGCAGCTGCTGGTGGGCTTGTTTATCGCCAATCAGGAAGAAGAGGTGAAGGTGGCTGCACACTTGCTGGTAGAACCTGTGGGCCAGGGGTCAGTTAATGTCCTCCCCTTTACCTTTGCTTGCCCCTCCAGGCCCCAGTCCCAACCTGACCACTTAGCCCCAATCTTCTCAGCCCTTGTGGCAGCCCACAGAATTCCTTTTGGCCTTTTGGCCAAGACAGAAGAGGAGCAGAGCAGAGTCAGCTATGGGCCTCACCTCTGCAACACCATTTCCTTCTCGATGTTATGTTTGACACCAAGGTTCTCCCTGGGGAGGTGGTCTTCAATGTGGTCCAAATCTGCTTCTGTGTACTGGTCAGGGAAACTGCCTGAGGTTGCCAGGGCCAGGAGGCGATGAAGTGTAGTGAGATCCACACCACTGGGTACCAACAGGGCCACTGTCTGGCTTAACATGCCAGCATGCCAGCTGGCATCTCGTAGACATTGGAGAATGGCTTCCTCTGACCCAGATGGTAGATGGAAGAAATGGGCCTGACAAATGCTAGAAGCCAGAGTGATGGCAGTATGGCACCCAGTACCCAGAGCCCGTGAGAGCATCAGGCCATGCTGCCGGGGCCTGGCCAGCACTCGGACAAGGCGGGCCACATGCTGGGCCATGGAATGACACCGGGCAAGGTGGGGGCTCAGCTTCAGTTGAGCAGCTGAGGTGGCCAGCTGCTCCTCTAGCTTCTCCCACTGTCGTTCCAGGTACAAGTTGGGGTTCTCAGAGTTAGACCCAAGTATCAGCTCCTGACTGAAGACCAGGTCTGAGGGTTTTTCCTGGGGATGTAGTAGTAGCACTGGTAACAACAGGGGTGAGACCAGGTCCATCTTGGGTGCCTTCTGCCACCAAGTTTTGAATGATCTCTTTACCTGGACCTTATAGTTGGATGCCCTTGTGCCTTTCTCTTGCCTTATCTTGTGACTTATGCTTTCCATCATCCCCCTGCTTACTGGCCCTGTGGATGATGATAGACTTGGATCACTGAAGTTTGAGCCTCTGGGGACCTGAAGGCCATAAGTGTCCTCTTCCTCCTCTGTTTCACTGTTGCTGTTGCTGAAGTCCTCCCACTGAGCCAACTCCCCTTCAGATTCCACTTCAGGCACTTTCTCCTTCTCCTCCTCATCCTCTTCACCCTCCTCATGGCCCTTGCCCAGATTCTGGGGCCCTGGCCTGCAGCAGAAGACACTCTGAGCTACTCCTAGAAGCAGCTGGGCACAGTAGGAGCGTTCCCTAGGGCTGTCCAGCCGGTCACAAAATGTTCTCTGAGCCTCATGCAACCAAAGACGTACCATGTTGCGTGTGGCCATCATAGCAGTCAGACAAGTACCACGTAGGCCTGTCACCCGGCGCAAGTGCTCCTGGAGGTTGGGATAGTCCACAAAGCCTCGGGAGCCTGTTCTGTTGGGCAGCAGCTGCAGGCTGCTCAGTAGGTGGCTCACAGAGTGTAGGGAGAAGTGGTAGTGTGGGTGGAGGGGCGATGGCATGAAGCAATTGCACACAGCCTCCCAGGCTTCTACTGAGGCCCTAACCAGGGCTTGTGCCAGAGCAGTCTCCCGCTCCACAGAAGGGAAACGCTCAAGCCAAGCCTGAATGATAGGAACATGCCTGCTCAGCAGGGTGGCCTGGGTCATGCTCTCCAGGGCCAGGACTGTGAAGAGTCTAAAGAGGCGTGGACACAGTGGGCGCTCACAGTAGCCTGGCACTGTGACAGTGGCAAGGTAGTTGATTGTAGGCTGCAGCGTTTGCAGTTCCAAGGTGCTGTGGGCATAGACAGTGCCATCCATGGCCTGGCGCAGAGTCTCCAACACAGGCTGGCAGCTCTTCTCTGGGTCTATGGGACATGATGAATAATAATGAGGACATGTAAAAGTCCACATGAGAGTATCAACGTGTTCCTTCTATTCCTGCCATACACAGTTCTAAAGGAATTTTGTGAATCTGACATGTTAGGACTTGGTCACATTTGAGTAAGTTATTCTCCCTCCCCTACATTCTCCCTAAAATTGAGGAATTTCTTCTCTCTTCTTCCTAGATCCTACCTCTGTGACTTATTAGTCATTAATGACTAGCAAGATTTGGAAGCTGAGAAGGATAGAAACCAGATCTGATCACAATTAGGGGAAAGCACAATAATTTCAGTCGAAGATATAGAGTTAAATCACTTGTACACTTAAAAAAAAATCAACTTTAGGCCGGGGTGTGGTCGCTTACCCCCTGTAAGTTTAACATTTTTGGAGGCTGAGGTCGAAAGATTTCTTGAGGCCAGGAGTTCAAGACCAGCCTGGGTAACATGGCAAGACCTTATCACTACAAAAAATGAAAAATAAAATAGCTGGGCCTGGTGGTGTGTGCTGTAGTCCTGTCTATTTGGGAGGCTAAGCCTGGAGAATCACTTGAGCACAACAGCTTGAGTGAGCCCTGATCCACCATCTAGCCTGAGTGACAGAGTGAGACCCTGTCTCTTAAAAAAAATAATAAATTAAAATAAAATTAAAAAATAAACTTTATTAAGACATGATTTACATAAAACAAAATGTATGCATTTTAAATGTATAGTTCAGTGAGTTTTGACTAATGTATACACCTGTGTCATCACTACCCCAATGATATTTAGAACATTTTCATCACCCTAGAAAGTTCCCTCATGCTCCTGTAAGGCCAATCAATCTCCCTGCCACCACCACCACAGGCATTGTTATTTGATCTGATTTCTATCACTATAGGTTAGCTTTGCCTGTTCTAAAACCTCATTAAATATAATTATACAGTATGTACTGGATCATATCTATCTTTTTTTACTCAGCAGGTTTTTGAGATTCATCCATGTTTTTGCATGTTTCCATAGTTTGTTCCATTTTATTCCTGAGTAGTATTTTTCTGAGAGCCCCCAGTTAAATTGGCATTCTAGTGCCAGAGCAGCTAACAAACCTGCCCTATCAGGGAAATGAAGGGGAGCGGAGTGTGGGGCTTTACAGTTTGACTTTCACAGGATTCTTCTTTTATCTGGAGGACAGCCTAATGCCTAGTTGTCTAACCTATGACCAGAGAGCCCCTCACACAGGAAACTTGACCTGGTTCTTTAGATAGAAGGACAAATTCAATACACCACAACAATAGGAAACAAGTTCAAAGATTTTTCACTTAATCTCGTGCAAGGAGGGCATAATGAGCCAGGAGGTCAGTCCTCCATCCTCATGTCACATGAGGTAGAATGAAGAGTCAGACTGAGAGAGAAAGAGAAAGAAACAGAAAGAGAGGGAATGACGGAAGAAAGGAGGAATGGAGGGCGGGACTGGCAGTGTATATAAGGGAATAAGGTGTGGGTCATTTTAAGTTTTCAGGCAAATGCCTGAATGGCCTGTTTTTAAAGGAAAGCAGGTGGGAGAGATGCCTCTAAATTCTTACCTCTTGCCACCACCTGGAGCCATTTGGGTGTAGATGTGGATTTAGCATTGCTCAGACTAATGCTTCTGTGAACGTTCATGTATGGTAAGTTTGAGGATATGTGGTTCTCATTTTACTTGCGTGAATACCTAAGACTAGAATTGCTGGCTCATATGTTAAGTCATATTCAATTTAGTAAGGAACTGGCATATATTTTTTATAGTGGATAAACCATTTTACATTCTCACCATCAAAGTGAAGGAGTTTCAGTTGTTCTACATCTTTGAAAACACTTTTTACTGTCAGTCTTAATTATCATATGGTGGTTTAAATTTGCACTTCACTGATGCCTGGTAATATCAAGCATCTTTTTGTATACTATTGCCCACTCACTCATACATCTTTTCTGAAGTGTTGTCTGTTTAAGTTTTTGTCCATTTAAAACATTGGGATGATGTTTGTTTTCTTAGTGAGTTGTAAGAGCTTTTTATGTATTTTGGGTCCAAGTCCTTAGTCAGATGCATGTATCATGCGTGTTTTCTCTGTCTATGGCTGATTTTTTCATTTTTGTAACAGTGTCTTTTGAAAGGCATAGGTTTTCAATTTTAATAAAATTTAGTTTTTGTGCCCTAAGAAATCATTGCCTAACCAAGGTCGCACAGATTTTTCTCCAATTTTTTTCTGAAAATTTTATAGTTTTAGCTTTTACATTTAGTTCTGTGATCCACTTATATTTTTATCTATATTTTGAGGTTAGAATACAGAGTTTGTTTTTTTCATGCACATATCCAGATGTTCCAGCACCATTCCTTGAAAAGACTAATCTTTCCCCCATTCATCTTGGCACCTTTACTAAAAATCGACCTGCCATATATGACTATATATCAGATTTTCTGTTCTATTAGTCTTATATGTATATCCTTATGCCAATATCACACTCTCTTGATTACAACAGCTGTATAGTAAATCTTAACATCACTAGTGTAGGTGTCCCAACTTTGTTCTTTTTCAATGTTGCTTGACTCTTCTAGCTTTTCTGCATTACCATATAAGTTTCAGAATAAGTCTGTCAACTTACCAAAAAAAAAAATCTGTGAAGATTTAGTGTGGCATTGCATTGAATCTATAAATCCCTTGGGGGAGGAGAATGAGGACCTTAATGATACTGACTTTTCTGATCCATGAACATCATATATTTCTCCATTTATTTACATTACCTCTGTCTCAGCAATACTTAGTCTTTTTTAGTGTACAGATCTTGAATGTTTTTCACTAAATTTATTCATGTGTTTTATGCTTTTAAATAACTTTTAAGTAATACTTTAAAATTTCCATTTCCAATGGTTTGTTACTAGGATATAGAAATACAAATGATTTCAATGGATTGATTCTGTATCCTGTGACCCTGATACATTAACTTATTTATTGTAGTAGTTTTATAGGGTTTAAAAAATATTCCTTTGGGGTCTCTATGCAGACAATCATATTATATGTCAATACAGATAGCTTTAACTTGTCTTTTAATTTTAAAAGTTTTTATTTTTCTTATTGCACAGATGTGGTCTCCAGTACAATATTTAATAAAATCAGTGAGCGTGTTCTTGCCTTTTAACTGATCTTAGGGGGACAACATTCAATATTTAACCAATAAATATGTAGTTAGCTGTAAGTGTAATAGATGCTCTGATCAAATTGAGAAAGTTATCTTCTATTCCTATCATGGAATAGTGTTGGAAATTTATCAAGTGATTTTTATCTACCAAAATTACTCCTTTTCTCCTTTATTCTGTTAATGTGAGCTACACTGATTGATTTTTGAATGTTTAGTCAGCTTTGCATTACCATGATAGACTCCATTTGGTCATAAGATGTTATTCTTAAAGGGAGAACTCAAGATGGCGCTGTGAGAACAACCCAGGATTGAAGCTCTCAGTGCATGCATGGAGAGGGTGAGTCAGGGCCGCATTTCCAGACGGATCTTTGTTGCCCACAGAATGGGGAAATTCCCAGGTATAAAAGAGACGCAGGACGCCAGGCAGAGGTTTTGGCCGGTGTAGCCGGCAGCCGGTGCGGCAGCTCCGCACAAAGCGCACTGGTCCAGGTGCCCTGTTGAACCGGCAACCTGAGACTGGAGAGGGCTGAACTTGAGACTGAACGGGACTTGGACAGTGAGCCAGCCCAGGAGATTCCAGGGACACAGCGTTTGGGGTAGCACAGTGCGACAAACAAAACGGCGATTCCAAATGCTCCCGGTGGAGGGGTTCCCTGAGAGTGCAGCTCCGTGGGGGAGGGGCATCCGGCATTACCAAGGCAACACACCCCTACTGAGGTAAACGCCCATTGCTGACCCAGCCTGCTGTTACCGAGGCAACCCGCTACAACAGAGAGACTCCACCGCAGGGAGTAGCCCATGGCAGCAGGGCAGAGACCACAGCTCCCTGACCCCTCTATATCCAAAAGACTGACATTTGGCAGGCATCATTCTGGGACAAAGAGAGCAGAAAAAGAAACTGGTAGCATCCCTCACTGTTCCGCAGCTGCTATAGGTGGACCCCAGACAAGCAGGGCCTGGAGTGGACCTCAGCAGTCGTACAGCAAAGGGGCTAGACTGGTAGAAGGAAAACCAAGTAACAGAAATACTTTATCATCAACAATCTGGGTGTCCATTAAGAGACCCAATTGAAAAGTCAGCAACTACACAGACGACAGGCGGATAAATCCACAAAGATGGGAAGAAACCAGCGCAAATAGGAGGAAAACACCCGAAACCAGAACATCTCGCCTCCTAGAAAGGACCAAAACTCCTCACCAGCAAGGGAACAAAGCTGGACGGAGAATGACTGTGATGAAATGACGGAATTAGACTTCAGAAGGTGGATAATGAGAAACTTTTGTGAGCTAAAAGAACATGTTTTAAATCAATGCAAAGAAACTAAGAACCTTGAAAAAAAGATATAAAAAAAGATACGAGAAAATGATAAGAAGAATGGATAACTTAGAAAGAAATATGAATGAATTAAAGGAGCTGAAAAACACAATACGAGAACTTCACGAAGCATGCACAAGTTTCAATAGCCGAATTGACCAAGCAGAAGAAAGAATATCTGAAGTCGAAGATCAACTCAATGAAATAAAATGAGAAACCAAGATCAGAGAAAAAAGAGCAAAAAGGAATGAACAAAGCCTCCAAAAAATGTGAGACTATGTGAAGAGACCTAACCTATGATTGATAGGTGTACCAGAATGTGAGGAAGAGAATGAATCCAAGCTGGAAAATACTCTTCAGGACATCATCCAGGAAAATTTCCCCCACCTAGCAAGACAGGCCAACACTCAAATGCAGGAAATACAGAGAACACCACAAAGATATTCCACAAGAAGAGCAACCCCAAGGCACATAATCGTCAGATTCAACAAGGTTGAAATAAAGGAGAAAATACTAAGGGCAGCCAGAGAGAAACGTCGGGTCACCCACAAAGGGAAGCCCATCAGACTCAGCAGATCTCTCGGCAGAAACACTACAAGCCAGAAGAGAGTGGGGGCCAATATTCAACATTCTTAAAGAAAAGAACTTTCAACCCAGAATTTCATATCCAGCCAAACTGAGCTTCATAAGTGAAGGAAGAATAAAATCCTTTGCGAACAAGCAAGTACTCAGAGATTTTGTCACCACCAGGCCTGCTTTACAAGAGCTCCTGAAAGAGGCACTACAAATGGAAAGGAACAACCAGTACCAGCCATTCCAAAATCACACTGAATGCTAAAGAGCATCAACACAATGAAGAATCTACAACAACTAATGGGCAAAACATCCAGCTAGCATCAAAATGGCAGTATCAAATTAACACATAACAATATTAACCCTAATGTAAATGGACTAAATGCACCAATCAAAAGACACAGACTGGCAAATTGGATAAAAATCCAAAACCCATCAGTGTGCTGTATCCAGGAAACCCATCTCACATGCAAGGATACACAAAGGCTCAAAATGAAGGGATAGAGGAAGATTTACCAAGCAAATGGAGAGCAAAAAAAAGCAGGAGTTGCAATTCTCATCTCTGATAAAATAGACTTTAAAGCAACAAAGATCAAAAGAGACAAAGAAGGACATTACATAATGGTAAAAAGATCGATACCACAAGAAGAGCTAACGATCCTAAACATATATGGACCACCCATAACATAACAGGAGCACCCAGATATATAAGGCAAGTTCTTAATGACCTACAAAAAGACTTAGACATGCACACAATAATAGTGGGAGACTTTAACACTCCACTGTCAATATTAGACAGATCAACCAGACAGAAAATCAACAAGGATATCCAGGGCTTGAACTCAGACCTGGAGCAAGCAAACCTGATAGATATTTACAGAACTCTCCACCCCAAATCCACAGAATATACATTCTTCTCAGCACCACATCACACCTACTCTAAAATTGACCACATAATTGGAAGTAAAGCACTGCTCAGCAAATGCAAAACAACTGAAATCATAACAAACAGCCTCTCAAACCATAGTGCAATGAAGTTAGAACTCAGAATTCAGAAACCAACCCAGAACCGCACAGCTTCATGGAAACTGAACAACTGGCTCTTGAATGTTGACTGGATAAACAACGAAATGAAGGCAGAAATAAAGAAGTTCTTCGAAACCAATGAGAACGAAGACAAAACATGCCAGAATCTCTGGGACACATTCAAAGCAGTCTCTAGAGGAAAGTATATAGCAATAAGTGCCCATATGAGGAGAATGGAGAGATCCAAATTTGACACCCTATCATCAAAATTGAAAGAGCTAGAGGAGCAAGATCAAAAAACTCAAAACCCAGCAGAAGACAAGAAATAACTAAGATCAGAGCTGAACTGAAGGAGATTGAGACACGAAAAACCCTTCAAACAATCAATAAATCCAAGAGCTGGTTTTTTTGAAAAGATCAACAAAATAGACAGACCACTAGCCAGATTGATTAAAAATAAAAGAGAGAACAACCAAATAGATGCAATAAAAAATGATAAAGGGGAAATCACCACAGATTCCACAGAAATTCAAACCATCATCAGAGAATATTACAAACAACTCTATGCACATAAACTAGTAAACCTGGAAGAAATGGATAAATTCCTGGACTCCTGTGTCCTCCCAAGCCTAAACCAGGAGGAAGCTGAAACTATGAATAGACCAATAACAAGGTCAGAAGTCGAGGCAGCAATTAAGAGCCTACCACACAAAAAAAAGCCCAGGTCCAGACGGGTTCACAGTCGAATTCTACCAGACACAGAAAGAGGAGCTGGTACCATTCCTTCTGAAACTATTCCAAATAATCCAAAAAGAGGGAATCCTTCCAAAATCATTTTATAAGACCAATATCATCCTGATACCAAAACCTGGCAGAGACCCAACAAGAAAAGAAAACTTCAGGCCAATATCCATGATGAACATAGATGCAAAAATCTTCAATAAAATATTGGCAAGCCGATTGCAACAGCAAATCAAAAAACTCATTGATCATGATCAACTAGGATTCATCCCAGGGATGCAAGGCTGGTTCAACATACACAAGTCTATCAATGTAATTCTGCCTCCTGGGTTCAAGCAATTCTCTTGCCTCAGGCTTCCAAATAGCTGGGACTACAGGCACTCGCCACCACGTCCAGCTAAATTTTGTATTTTTTGTAGAGACAGGGTTTCACTATGTTTGCCAGGCTGGTCTCAAACTCCTGACCTTGTAATCCGCCCACCTTAGCCTCTCAAAGTGCTGGGATTACAGATGTGAGCCACAGCGCCTGGCCTCTAAGATAGATATTTAAAGCTATAACCTGTAGCTGCATCTCACAAACTTTGATATGTTTTGTTTTCACTATTATTTAGTTCAAAACATTTTCTAATTTATCTTATAATTTATTTTTTGGTACATAATTTATTTAAAAGTGTGTTGTTTAATTTTAAAGAATTTGGAAATTCTCTAGGTATCTTATTAATATTTGTATTGTTATGGTCAGATAAAATATTCTTTAAAATGTTAATCCTTTGAAATTCATTGAGCCTTATTTTATAACCCAGCATATAGTCTATCTTGGTGAATGTCCCATGTGCATTTGAAAAGGTGCATTTTGCAGTTGGTCAGTGTGATGTTCTGTAAATGTCAGTATGCTGCTAGTGTTATCAGATCTTTATTGTCCATACTTTCTTGCTTCTTGTCTTACCAGTTATTGTGAGAAGCATATTAATTTCTTACTATGACTTCAGATTTACTATTTCTCCTTTGTTTCCATTGGTTTTTTTTTCATATACTTAAATGTCTGTTTTAGGTGTGTACCCATTTAAGACTTGTCTTTCTGATGAGTTGAATCTTTTAATTAAGAGATGTCATTTTTCTATCTCTAGTAATACCCTTTGTCTTAAAGTGCTTTGGTATTAATATTGCCGCACCAACGTCCTTATACAAACTATTTCTATAGCAAATATTTTGCCTTAAAAAACTTCTTTTAGTCTGTGTTTTTATATTTAAAGTGCATCTTTCAGACAGCATATAGCTAGATCTACTCTAGTCTGATAATATTGGCCTTTTATTTGGACTGCTTAGTCCATTTACATTTAATGTAATTATTGATATGGTTGGTTTAAAGTCCATCATATGGTTATTTTTTGTTATTTGTTTTCTATTTGGCTCTTTTTTTCCTGCATCCATTCATCCATTATGGCTCTTCTTTTTATTTCTGTGTCGCTCCTTTCTTGCTTCCTTTTGCACAATTTAAATATTTTAAGTACTTCATTGTATTTATTGCTCTTTAGCTATATATTTTTTTCTTCTTTGAGACAGGATCTCACTCTGTAGCCCAGTCTAAAGTGCAGTGGTTCAAACACAGTTCACTGCAGCCTCTACCTGACAGGCTCAAGTGATCCTCCCACCTCAGCCCCCAAAGTAGCTGGGACTACAGGTGCATGCCACCACACCCAGCTATAATTTTTGCACTTTTTGTAGAAAAGAGGTTTTGCCATGTTGCCCAGGCTGAACTCGAACTTCTGAGTTGAAGAAATTAGCTTACCTTGAACTCCCAAAGTGCTGGGATGATGGGCATAAGCCAACGTGTCCTTCAGCTATGCTCTTTGTTATTATTATTTAGTGATTTTTATAGGGCTAATAATATGCCTCCTTAACCAATATTAAAAGTAATATTGTACCACTGTACACTTCATACTGACACCTTCCCCACTTCCTATTTCATCCTTCCTACTTCACATTTCATACTTCCTATTTCACAAAGGTAAGAACCTTGCAATAGTATAATTCAATTTACTTGCTTCTCTTCATCCCATCCTTTTACTGTTGTAGCTATTGACTCTTTACTTCTACTCATTACCAACCCCATTAACAATGTTATTTTTATAACTATCAGATGGCTTTTAAGAAAATCAGGGAAGATAATCATTTATATGCATTCACATATTTACCATTTCTGATGCTCTTCATTCTTTTTAAAGATCTGAGTTTCCAACTGCCATTATTTCCCTTCTGCCCAAAGAAGATCTTTTAGCATTTCTTGCAGTATTGTTCTACCAGCAATTAACTTTCTCGGCTTTCATGTGTCTGAAATACCTTAATTTCACCTTCATTTATGAAGAGAATCTTTGCCAGATAGAGAATTCTAGGTTGACTTTTATTTCTTTTAGTAGGTTAAAGCTTTTCCCCACCATTATCTGGATGCTACTGTTTCTAATGAGAAGTTAATCATCATTCTTAATGTTGTTTCTGTGTATACTGTCTTTTTTTTTCCCCACTGACCACTTTCATAGTTTTTCTTTGTTTGGTTTTCAGCAGTTTGAGTATGATGGGCCTAGAAGTAGCTTTCTTTTTATTATTCTACTTTGGAATAACTGAGTTTTTTATATATGAAAGTCAGTATTTTTCAAGAAATTGGGGGAAATGTTGGTAACAATTGTTGGTAACAATTTTATACCCTATTCTTACTCTCCTTTTCTTCTGAAACTCCAATTCTACATGAGTTAGACTGAAGCTGTATTTCTATTCAATATTGTTATATTCTTCAGGGTTCACTGATGCTTTCGTCTTATCATCTCCAATCAGCTGTTAAACCCACTGCTTTGATTTGAGTATGTGCCCCTTCCAAAACTCATGTTGAAATTAAATCCCCCATGTGGCAGTATTGAAAGATGGAGCCTTAAAGAGGTGACTGGGTCATGGGGACTCTGCCCTGATAAACAGACTAATCTATTCATGGATTAATGAGTTAATGGATTAATATGTTGTCATAAGAGTAAGACTGGTGGCTTATAAGAAGAGAAAGGAAGACCTAAGCTAGCATAGTCAGCCCTCTTGCCATGTGATGCCCTGTACCATATTGGGATTCTGCAGAGACTTGCCACCAGCAAGAAGGCCCTCATTAGTAGTGGCCCCTTGACCATGGACTTCTCAGTCTCCACAACTGTAGAAAATAAATTTTTTAAAAAATAAATTACCCGGTTTCAAGTACTCTGTTATAAGCAACAGAAAATGAACTAAGACACCCATCCAAGAAATTTTGCATTTCGGATTATTACATATTCTAGTTCTAAAATATCCATTTTGTTCTTTCAGTAGGTTTCATTTCTCTGCTGAGATTCCCTATCTGTTCATGCATTAAGATCATATTTTTCTTTAGCAATTGAATACTTTTATAAGAGCTGCTCTAAAGTATTAACTAAACCTCTAGACCAGGGGTTGCCAACCCCCAGGCCATGGACCAGTATCAGTCTGTGGCCTGTGAGGAACTGGGCCACAAAGCAAGAGGTGAGTGGCAGGCAAGTTAGCATTGCTGCCTGAGCTCTGCCTCCTGTCAGATTAGTGGTGGCATTAGATTCTTACAGGAGCACAAACCCTACTGTGAACTGTGCATGGAAGGAATCTACATTCCATGCTCCTTATGAGAGTCTAATGCCTGATGATCTGAGTTGGAACAGTTTCATTCCAAAACCATCCCCCATCCGTGAAAATTGCCTTCCACAAAACCAGTCCCTGGTGCCAAAAAGGTTGGGGACTGCTGCTTTAGACCATCTCAGGATCAGTTCCTATTCTATTGCTTGCTTCTTCTTAACAGCGCATTATTTACTGATTTATTTTGTGGCATGTCTATTCATTTTTTATTTTAAACTGGATGTTTTGGTGGTTGTCACTCAAGGACACCTTTTACATTCTGCCAGCAGTAACATTCTTCACTCTACAATGTCACTTACGACGTTCTCAGTCTCCCTGCTGAAATCTCTTCTCAGCTGAAATCTCCTCACAGATTGAACTGTACCACCCTTTACTCTTTCTGTTGTCTCTAATTTTGTGCAAATTGACTGAAAAGGACAAATAATATAGCTGGAAGGAACTACAGATTTTAGAGCAAATAGACTTGAATTTTAATCTTGGTTGTATCTTGGGCAAGTTATAAAATCTCTGTCTCTGTTTCTTCATCTTTAAAATAATTGTAAAAATTCTTCATCTTACTTGGCTTTTATGAGCACTGAAGATGACATACATAAAGCATGTAGCACATAGTAGACATTCAATAAATTGTTCTGGCTATTACTAAGAACTAATACATCTGGTTTGAGTTTTCTACATCTCATAAGGGACTTTGCTGTGTAACTGGATAACCTACCCAATGCTTTAGCGCATTGACTTCCTTGACTTCCAACAACCTCTACGTATAATTCACTTCAACCCAATCCCATGACCATATTTAGAAGCTACCATCTTCTAAATATGGAAGACATACCACTTTAGAAACTTTACACTTCAGTCTCCAAACTTGCATCACAATTTTTTCTATCTGGTCTTCTACAAACTTTTTTTTTTTTTTTTTTGAAGTCTCACTCTGTTGCTCAAGCTGGAGTAAGGTTGTGTGATCTTCACTCACTACAACCTCCACATCCCAGGTTCAAGCCATTCTGCTGCCTCAGCCTCCTGAATAATAGATGGGGCATGCACCATCATGCCCAGCTAATTTTTGTATTTTTAGTAGAGGGGGGGTTTCACTATGTTGGCCAGGCTGGTCTTGAACTCCTGACCTCAGGTGATCCACGTGCCTCAGCCTCCCAAAGTACTGGGATTACAGGCGTGAGCCTCCGTGCCCGGCTGTCTTCTACAAACTTATTGAGAGCACTTACTTCCTGTTGGGTCTATCAAAATGAATGAGACAAATTTCTGTTCTCTGTTCTCATAAATCTCCAAGTGGCAAAAGGGACAGACAAGCACACAATCATAAAATCATGGTTATCAGAAGTCATGTACAGAGCACAGGATGGATATCTAACCTAGCCTAGGGCTAAGGGTTCCTGGAGACGCTACTGATTTAGGTAATTTAGAAAGAATAAGTAGGATTTAGCCACATAGAGAGGGCGAAGAGGACAGCAACACCGGGTCTAGATGAAGCCTGACTCGTTGAGTCCAATTAGACAGAATGTAAAAGATCACAGAAGAAAGCCTCATCACAGAAAGCTTTGTAAGAGCATTTGTCAGGTTCCAAGTGATGTGCATCTGAACCATGGAAGTAAGTGGAAATATTCAAGAAATATGTAGGAAGTAGGATTGAAAGACACAATGGCTGGATATTGGTGAAGGAGAAAGAGATGTCAACAAGATTTCTGGTTTACATGACTGGTTGGATGGTGAAACTAAGAGGACACACAGGAGCAGATTTTGGCCAGGGGGAGATGATGAGCCCAGGGTTGGGTCTGAGGTACCAACAGGACAACAAGGTGGAGACGTAGACAGCTGGATAGACAGATCTGGTGCTTAGAAGAGAAGCAAGGTTGGAGACAGAGATTTAGCAGTCAAAGCGGAGATGAGGCCATGAGGGTGGATGGGATTATTCGGGGAGCATATGCAGAGTGAGACGATATTAAGAACAGAACACTAAAGTTTGATCTACAGACATATATTTGAGAGTCAATGAATATTGCTACGGATTTTATAGTTTCAAGAGATGATAGTAGCTCCCTCCTTCCCTCCTCCCAGCTCCTTACCAGAAGTGGCCAGATGCAGATCCTCCAGCAAGAAGAGAAGGGAGGCTTTAGAATCCCGGTGTTGCCCAGGCTGTGGGCTGGCTTGGTTTTGGCCCTGGATTCCTCTGCTCAGCAGGAGACGGAGGTGGGTGGAACTGAAGGCAGGGTGGATGGGGCTGTATATGTAAGGGTGATGTGGCTCCACTAGCACTTCCACAAAGGCTGACTTCCCTGTTGCTGCCTCTCCAGCCAGCAGCACTGGCTGTCCCGCTGACAGAAGCAGGTCCACCACATACAAGAGTCGTTCAGTCTGCAGGACAGAAGTGGGACTTGCTGAGCACCTCCAGTCTAAGGCAGCAATCTAGCTGAAAGTAAAGGTCTAGGGGACTTGTCTTAGAGCTGTGCTTGGAGAACATTTCATGTATTCCTGTGATTGTGAAACTATATCAAAGAAAGGGAACAGATGGGTCTCAGCTGATCTTCAAACATGGATTACCCCTAAGATAAGTCCTGATATTCTAACCCTAGTTCCCTGCCTTACTGTCCTCACACCTGGATAGAAGGGTGAAAGGTGCCCAGAGTTCCTTTGATGTGGCTGCTCAGGTATTGGCCAGTGAAGGGGACCAGTGTTCCATCTTCAGGGCTTACATGTAGATCAAACACCAAGGCTGAGGGTGGTGGCTCAGGGTAGTTGGAGAGGCGACTAATAGAATCCCTTATGAAGGTATCAAAGACAGGCCAGAACCTGCTCAGATGGACACACAGGCAAAAGTGTCGGACAGGTACAATACTTCCATTTATGACACACTCACACGCTCCACCATACCCTAACAGTGATGTCATGTGGGTTTTTTTACTTCTGTGAGCCAGTCCATCTCAGCCCTCTGCATCTCCCATCCCCCATCCCTATAGGTACCTGGAGGGAAGGTGGGCTCCAAAGCCCCAGATCAAGGCAAAAAGAAAACTGCTGACAGCCAGCAAGTGTTCCCTGCTCTTATTTGGTACATCATCACTGTCAACTTGGGACTGGTTTAGAAAGATTCTTTTTGAAGACCTGAAGCTTTGGGCCACAGGATCACTGCAGCTGAGGTCCTCTGCAAAGTTCGCCATGGCCATGATAGAAGCCCCAGTAGAAAAAGGTGGAAGGTGGAAGAAAGAAAGAAAGAATAAAGGTTGACTCTATTAATTCTCACTCCTGGCCCAGATCCATCAAAGAACACATGCCCCAGGCGCCAGCTATATACCCCAGCTACCCTTAAGTCCCCTTCTCTCTCAAACCAGCCCTTCCATCTTCCCACCTGGGCCAGGGGCCTTCTCCTCTAGATGCAAGTGGGGGTCAAGCAGACTATGCAAGATGCGTGCCATGCTGGTAACTTCTGCCACACCAGGACAAACAGCCTGCTGCCCGTGTACCTGCAGCAGAGAGCTGACACCTTGGCCGGTGAGGAATCGGAATGTTGCAGGCACCAGAACTTCAGCCAGGTGGTTGAGCTCGGTGACTGTCTGGTGCTGCAGGCGGTACTCAGAGGGAAGGGATGCCATCAGGGCACTAAGTATACACTGCCAAGTCTGCTCTCCACCACACCAGACTAGGGCACAACAGCCTACCACTGTGGGGGACATGCCTGTTGCATCTGTCACCTCCATCAAGAGAAAGGTGCTTGGGGGTCGTTCTATCTGCTGTCCATTGGGGAGACTAAGCTGGGGAAGCTCACTCAGGAGGCAAGTGATGGAGTCCAGCCAAGCAGCACTGGAGGCCCCATCACATATTATCCAGTGCTGGATCGCCATTGATTTCTCTGTCTGCCTCTTTTGGCCCATGTTTTTACACTGACTAGCTGCACAAAGTACCTTGGGGAAGATGCCATGATGCCAGCAGGGGCCCTCTAGCCATCCCAGAAACTCCTGGGGGTTGAGGCCACTGGGGTACAGGTGAGTAATTTCCACAGGCTGGCAGCCTTGGGTGGAGGTGTCCTCCATGGCTGCCAGCCGATTCTGGATCTTAAATAAGCTGTGCCAACAAGTGGTCTTGCCACTGCCTGCAGGGCCCAGGAGCAGAATGCCTGAGGCCTGGCTCAGGGCCTGGCTCAACTGTTCCAGAGACCCCAAAACGTCAGGGCTGGGATGCAGACCTACCTGCTGCAGTTCCTCCACCACCAGTGGCTTCATCAGCCTGTGAGTCATAGGTTCTGCCTGCACTTGGCTGGCGCTAGGGAAAAGCACACATAGCAGCTCTCGGAGGTTGTGCAGGTAGGGCCCATTGAGAATGCTAAACAGCGGTGAGCGCAGTAGGGCATGCAGTAGGGCAGCCTCTTCAGTGGCAGCTAGGCTGCGAGGCTGCTGGGACTCTGGTTCCTCCTTGGTCACATTTAGTGTCTGTATTGTGTCTTTCAGTATCTGCTTGAGCAGTGGCAGGCGGCAGGGCAGGGGCCCAGACACCAGCTCACGCTCTAGGGAGAAGAATTTGGACAGGCGGGTAGCCATCCGGAAAGCATCCCGCATCCCTGCACCCAGCAGGGTCAGCTCTGCCACTTGCCGCAGATCAGGCAATGCCAGTGCCACAGGCCGCAGCAGCAGGTGCAGGTTGGCAGGCACAGCAGAGCTCAGGGCACGCAGTTCCAGGAGACAGCCATAGCCAAGGCGCATAGACACGTGATGTTTTTCAAAGAAGCCACTGCCAAGGAGCTGGGGCTGGGTGGGGTCTATGGTGCTTGTGTTTCGGGAAGCCTCCTGGTACAGTGGGGCATACAAGTGGTGCAGTTCAGCCAGGCGCTGACCCAGGGCAGAGAGCAAGCCAGGGGGCAGCTGATGAACTGCCTCCAACAGCAGCCAGGCACCACCCTGCAGGGCACCATTCAGATAGTTGCTCAGGCATTGGGTCTCTATCTGAGGTGAGCAGGGCAGTATGACCAGCTGACGGCCCAGGGCCTGTGCCAGGCTATTCACTATAGCTCTCTTGCCCACACCTTTAGGACCCAGTAGGGTCCCACAGGCCACCTCCTCTAAGGCCAATAGTAGTACCAGGGCTGGCCGTTCAGGCAGCAGGCTCGGTAGAGGCCCTAGTCTAGGTCCCAGGTACTCATAATTGTACAGGAAGGATCTACCTAGCACGTCTATCCAGCATGCTGCTGGTGACTGAGAGGGTTCAGAAGATGCAGTGGTCTTAAGACTCTGTAGGGGGCTTTTAGGGATTATGTGAGGTGAACCCAAGTGATATTTGAGTTGGCGGACCCAGTGGAAGTCCGTGAGGTCACTGACCTTGTGCTTTTCCAGCAGCTGTGCTATATCCCGGTGGGTCACTGCCATGACCAGCAGGGCACTGAGCAGGCTGGTCTGGCGGACAGAAGGCAGGGGCTGCTTACCTTGGGAAGCCCTCTGAGCCCGCAAAAAATTCACCAGTACCTCAAGCTTGCGCATATGCATGGAGACCATGGCCAGGGTACCCCACTCAAGCAGAGCTTCCTCCATCTCGGCCCGCCATACCACCTCCTCTGCCACCAGCACACACTGCCATGGGAAGGCCTGTACTAAATCGATCCAGTGCTGGACATACGGTTGAAGGTACAACTGGTTTTGCTTAGGCAGCTGCTTGAGGGCCTCAGCTAGAGATGGGCCTTGAGCGAGGTGAGCAGCTACACAGCCCTGCAGCATGTGCACCAGTGCCAAGCGCAGACACTTCTCCAGAGAGGCCAGCCACTTAGGGAGGTCTGGATGCAGAGGAAGGGGACTCTGCAGCTTCACCTCCTCCCCACCCACCCCTAGCACTGCAAGTGCCTCCACCTGAGTCTGTGTGTTTGGGCTTGACTCCCAGTCATCCCTGTTTTTCTCACCAGTTGGGTGAGACTTAAAGCTCACAGCACGCACATGAGGAAAGCAGCGTCGTACCCATCGCTGGGCTTCGCAGGATTCCAGTCGGGCAGCCAGCAGGGCTACCAGCTCACTGTCACTAAGGAAGAAGAGGCGGGGGAAGTGAGCACACACTCCATAAAGCACACTCTCCAGAGTCATGATGATGTCCTCCAGCTCCACCGATCCTGCTTGCAGCAGTTGTTGCAGCTGCTGGCCTTGGAAGTAAGGGCTCCTCTTGGCATTGGGTACTACAAGTGACAGAACCATGGGGTCAGCTAAAGAGATGTGCATCAGGGTTCGATACTGATCATCCATGGCCTTGAAACGAGAGCTCTGTGGTGAGGGAGAGGATAAAAGTGAGGGCCAGTATGAAGTGGCAGCTCCCCTTTCCCACCCCAAGCCCTGCTATTCAGGAACCCTTCTTGCCCTCTCTGCCTCAACCCCCTTCCCTACCAGGTCAGCACTAGGAAACTGAATCTTCATCTCATGCAGAACTTTATTCAGAAAAATCCACTTCTGCTGGAAAGTCACCCACACCTCCAGCAGGGCACCTGTGTAAGCAGCCAGAGAAATGCTGATGGGAAACACTAGTGTTCTACCTTCTGCAAGGGAGTCCGCCCTACTCCTGATCTCTCAGGTACCCAACTAGCCCAAGCAAAATACTCTGCCCTGCAGGACTCAGGGACCTTGCCTGAGGGAGAAAAAACTTTCTCTGTGAATAAAAACCTGATCTCTTTATTCCAAGAAACAGCCCTGAAGGAGGTCCTTACTCTGTTCTTCATATCTTCTCCCACCCAACCTCCATCTCTCACACCCATCCCTCTGGGACATCCTGCCTCAGGTCTCACCCATCAGTCCAGCTAAAGGCCGGCACTTACCCAGACCGTGCATGATGGCCACCCACTCCAAAGCTATTTTGTTTAAGTCTCCTGACTTTTGGATGGCCAGGATCTTGACCAACACCTGAATACTTTCTTGGATGGAATCCTTCAGGTTGCTGTAATCTAAGACAGAAAAAGCTTGAGCTGGATGTCAGATGGAGCAAGGGCAGGGGGTGGGGCAGGGAAGAGCAGACCAGGGTGACCTTCCAGGAGAGAGAGTTACAGAGACCCTGATGCCCTTTCTTTCTTTTCTTTTCTTTGAGACAAAGTCGCTTTGTGGCCCAGGCTGGAGTGCAATGGCACGATCTTGGCTCACTGCACTATGCTTCCCAGGTTCATGTAATTCAACTGTCTCAACCTCCTGAGTAGCTGAGATTACAGGTGTGTGCCACCACGCCTGGCTAATTTTTTGTATGTTTAGTAGAGATGGCGTTTCACCATGTTGGCCAGGCTGCCCTCAAATGCCCGACCTCAAATGATCCACCCACCTCGGCCTCTCAATGTGCTGGGATTACAGGTGTGAGCCACTGTGCCCGACTGCCCTGTCTTTAAGGATTGCATCAGTCAATATGTAGAACCAGTAAAATGCTGGGGCCTCAAAACAGTAAGAGAAGAAACTCCTCCTTTCCCAAGACACTGTGGGCAGACTCCAGGCCAGCTGATTTCCCTGGTTAGCTGTTATAAGTATCCACCTAACTCCATTGAAGTTCTTTCTAAGAACTAGAGCCTCTAGCAAAAGGGCTCAATGGCTCCAAGTCCCTACATAATATTTCTATAGCAGGAATGTCCATTCTGGCATAAAAGGGGTCCTGGCAGAGAAGCTGAGAACAAACTTTCTCTCATAGTATTAGCACTTGGCTCCCTGGTGCTGCTTAAAGAGTCATCCCATCATGCCACAAGTGCTTGGTGAGACTAGGGCTAGAAATGAGGTAGGAACACTAACGGGTAAAAATGAGAGGAGCATCAAGCAAGGTTTATTCAGACAGATGTAGGACTCTGCAAACACCGCTGGCATGAAGAAAATTCATTATCCTTTCCTCAGAGTGACAAAACTTTTACTCTACTCTCTAGAGAAAACAGCACTGGACTAATGCTTTTAGCCCCTATATCTCCTTTACTTACTCCTCCCCATGTGAGGAGGCAAAGACACCCATCTTTCATGTTCTATGGGATATGAGACAGCCACAGGCCTCCACACAGCTACCTGTGTAAGTGTACTTCAGCTTCCCTCTGCATATCTACATAGACCTCAAGTTTTCAACTAATTTGGGGAAGGTTTTGATGAAGTAGTGTGAAGTCTCACTTGACCTAGATCCAAGCTGTTTCTTCCAACATGATATATAAAAAGCACAAACTTCCTTGGGGGTGATGGTTCCAATGTTATACTTTCATTTTCATATATATCCTTGTTCTCATTTGGTTAAGAATCTAAAAGGGAGATTAATGATTTGTAGGTGTGCCCAACCTTGTAACAACCTATATTCCTGAGGTAAGAATTAAATACATAATAAGTCCATCATTTGTGACTCTTTGGATGAATGAAGTCACCAGCTTCATGGTGTGTGGCCACTACAAAGATGTGGTCCTTGGTTACTATGCCCTGAGTTAACAGGAGAAGAAAGCCTAGTACAGAGAAAGGAGAGAACCCATAGGAGAAAACCTCAACCATACAAATGTTTGATGCAAATGCTAGCTTGAGAGAGAGAAGGGGGAAGTGAAAAGGAGCAAAGCTGGAGGAGGGGTTGTGAGCTCAAGTAAAGACTCGCAGGACCCAGGCTGGCATCTGAATGTATGCTCACAGACAGCCCAAGGCCCAGACTATCCAGAGCCTTTACTCTGTACTATGAATTTTTATTTATTACTTTTAGTAGCAGAGAAATCTAAGGATGAGGAAGAAAAGTGGCAGAGATCAAGTAGGAACAGATTGGCAAAGTGTGGAACCAGGGTCAGAAATGGGCAAATGGATTCGCATAAAATGTGCTCAGGACAAAAGTGGGAAGAGAATCTCCTTTCAATCTTGGTGCAGATGTTAACTGCAGACATCCAGCCTTTGTGTCAGTCAACACCAAAACTTATGAGTACTTGGTAAGGGAGCTGTGAAAAAGAAGGCTGGGTACCATTTATCAATGTGCTGCAAATGGCTGGAAAAGGCATCGCTAGGCAAATATTGGGCATAAAGAGGAGATAAGGATAAAGAATTTGGGTAATAAGAAACATCTATATTAGAATGGAAAGGACCTACATTCTCCTCTCTGCAGAAGTTGAACCAATTATACATCTTGCCTAGTTGAGTCCTACATAGCTTGAGTCCATCCACTTTTCTTTCCCTATTGCTACTTTCTAGTCTAGACCACTATTATTTTTCACTTGGATTATGCCAGTTGTCCCTTAACCAATCTTTCAATTGCCATCCTTTGCCTCTCTTCAATCCATTCTCCACATTGAAACTAGAATGATGTTAAACTAAAATCTGATTATGTTATTACCCCACAAAAAACATGCAGTGATTCTCTATTGTTTTCGTGTTACTGAGTACATTCTCTTTTTCATTTGTTTGTTTTTAGATGGAGTCTCCTTCTGTTGCCCAGGCTCAAGTTGCAGTGGCATGATCTTGGCTCACCAGAACCTCCACCTCCCAGGTTCAAGCAATTCTTCTGCCTCAGCCTCCTGAGTAGCTGGAATTAAAGATGCATGCCACCACACCCAGCTAATTTTTGTATTTTTAGTACAGATGTAGTTTCACCATGTTGGTCAGGCTGGTTGTGAACTCCTGACCTCATGATCTACCTGGCTTGGCTTCCCAAAGTGCTGGGATATAGGTGTGAGCCACTGCATCCAGCCTGAGTAAATTCTTAATGTGGCCCACAAGACTTTGCATGATCTGACCCTCTCTAGTTCCACCTACCCCCTCCCCTCCTCCACTATTCTTTGGGATCCAGCCATAGAGAAATAGAAGCTCTTTTGGTGCATGCTCCCCATTGTTACCATCAAATATACTGACTGAAGCCCTAACTGAGCTGAAACTCACAGATTTCAAGCTATACTTTAGAACATCAAAACATTTTTGCTTCTACTAGGTAAATTGTGTGCTCACTAAGAGTTAGAATGTGTTTGCAAATCTATTTGTGTGAGTTATGTTATAATTTTAAGTAAAGAGTTGAATCTAATATTCTAACAACCACTGATATATTGGTGGGAAAAAAGTTGCTGTTTCTATGGAAACCACAGAAAGCCTCAGTAAAGGCAAAGTGATTAAAAATATGCTATTAGGTATAGGCAAGTCAATTTTTATAAATTGGGGACTTATAATAAAAACCTAGAAAAATTCTGAACTCTGAGACAGTGTCTTCTATGTAACTCCCATACTGTCTTAATCTCCTTGGAAGTCCTCTTCTCATCTTTCTCTCTCCAAACAGTGCCTGGGTGCTGCAGCTAAGGCCCTTCCCTTCACAGGGACTTTAAAAGTGTCTTCCTGTTGCTGCCCAACTTTACAGAAAGTGAAAGTAGAAATGGTAGACAATGCACTAATGCAAGAAAGGCAGTGAGGAACTCTCAAATCAAACAAAAGCTCTTGTCATTAGGTTAAAAGGTTAGTAAACAAATGTACATGTATATAGTTTAAGCTAAAGTAAAAGTCTTAAACTATGTATGCATCATTAGTATTTTGGATTTTACCAGGTGGGTCTCAATTGTGTTGAATAAGAAAATTTCTCCTCTATTGGCAATACCCCAGCTATATCACCTTGGATGCTTGTGTATATGCTGTCCCTTTTGTCTGGTCTGCTATTCTCACCTGGCAAGTTTGGCAAACTCTTACTCCTTCAAAAAGTCAGCACAAGGCCTCTGCCTAAAGAAGACTTCTCTGATTCTCTCTCTGGTTCTTTGAGATGGTCCTCTCTCTCAGATTCTACTGCCCTCAGTACAGTACTCCATCTTGTTTATCCCTATACTACTGTCTGTCTCTCACTGGCCTCAGGAGTTTCTGAGGGACAGGGATGCTGTCTGTAAATCTCATGGTCTCCTGTATTTAGCACAAAGGATGCAGGTTTGACGAGGGAAATAATAAAGAAATGAATTAATGAATGAGTGAAGCATAAAATCAGACAGCAGGGTGCAATCTAGAGGACAGAGCATTGAAAGGTGGAGATAACTGACCATGAGGAATTTCTGACTGTACCCTGAAAGGGGAGGACTTTGCTGAAGGACTGAGGCATTGGGTAGAGATGGTGAGGGGAAGGGGCTCCCAAGGAGATTAAGACAGTAGGAGGCCACATGGAAGACAATGTCTCAAAACAGACTAATGTCTCAGGCTACCTTGTAAGGATGGGCCCTGGCTAGAGAACCATATCTGGCAGGGTTTGATGGATATGGTGGATGAAAATGACCCTCAGCAGCGGGCTTTCACTGGGCCACAAGGACTGTGTCTCACCTGCGAGGATGAAGGTGCCACTGTCTTTGCTCACTACCTTCCACTGGGAGCTGCGGAGCATCTGCCTCTTGGAGTGCTCTGAGGCTGGGGGCTCGTAGGGTACGTGCAGGATGAAGTTGAGCAGGCGCAGCTGGCGTCCTTCCCAGTACTGCTGCAACCGCCGTATAGTCTCTTGGGCATGAATTCGTTCATTTTCACCTTGCCAGACCTGGAAGAGCTGGGTCTCAGGAACCAAGAGTGGGTAATTGTTTAGGGGATAGGCTTGGAGCTGGGACCTGGGGATTAGCTCTGAGGCAGAACTCAAGGGCCAGGGCCCAGGAAAGTGGAACTCTCAGAAATGAAGGGGAAGGAGGACCATCAGGCTTCAAACATAGGCCAACAGCAGCATCTAACTACCTTGCCACAGGGTCACTGCTTTGGAACCCCCACCCGCTTTTGCAAGGCTCCAGCTGAGCAAATACCTCAGTCAGCTCGTGCTCTCTGGGAACAAGATAAGTGTTGGGGGGAGGTACCTGCCATTCTGTGTACCCACAAGTTTGGGGCTGCCATCCACTTCCTTCCCCCATCGGAGATATACTCTCAGTCACAAGGAGTCTGGACCCACCCATGAGATCCCCATCTGGAGACTTAAATCAATTGTTCCTGCCCTTCAGGCAGGTTAGCAATTTCAACCCCCCATCCATTCACATGCCAAACACCTGCCATCCTCATGTCTCAAGGGGCTGCTGGGCCTTGACTGGCTTTATTACAGGTCCTGGGTTTGGACCCTCTCCCTCGCTTTCTAATTGTGGGCCCCACCTGGTTGATTCGATCTGCAAACTCCAGCAGTGGATAAGTAAGCAGCTTGCCCAGCGTTAGGAGTTCTATAGTTTGGTGACTGCCCAGCCCGAGGGCTAGAGGTAGAGAAAACAAGTCAGAGCAACACCCACTATGTGGCAGAGTCCAGCCCATATCCCATATCCCAGAGCCCAGCTCAGCTCACACCCCAGATAGCAGATCTCAGAGCACAACACAGAGCCAACAGCTTAGAACCCAAGATCTAGAGCACAACTCAGAGCCCAGAGCTAAGGCTCCAACCCAAGCCCAGCCACCATCAGCAGAGAGGATGTAGTGAGGCAGGTAAAAAATTTTATCCCAATTGGGGAAAAGAGATTGAACTATACGGGAAAGGCAGGGAGAAACGTGGGGAAGAAAGGTGTTTCCAGCAGGAGCAGCAGGAAACTGAGTTGTTGCATCGCTCTAACCCCTATATATTTCCTTTTCCCCCTCCTCGGACATTAATCAAACATACCTCGCAGGAGACCTTGGCAGTTGAGGCTCTGTGGGTGGAGGCTGCCCAGCTTGGCCAGCAGGGGCAGGCAGCTGCGAAACTCCCCCAGCATGCGCATGCAGTGCTGCAGCACCGGGCTGTGCAGCCCCAGGGTTGAGCTCATGCGCGCTGCCTCTGTCAGCCAGCCCTCTGTCTTCTCCTGGGCCATAGCTAGGCTGAACTACAGGGAGAATGGCTCACTGTCAGCTCGAGACTCTTCCCCACCCCCACCACTGTAGTCCTCCACTCCCAGGCAAGAGCTCCAAGGAATGGTGTCAGCACCTTGCCAAAAGCCATGCACTTCCACTCGCTGATGTTTTCAGAGATGACTCGGTACAGGTGCCAGATGCGCTGCTGCTGCACAATAGGACGTGTCCCACAGATTGGCAAAGGCACAGGAGTCTCATCCCCTGTGAGGGAGGGCTGATTGAGACCTGGGCTACTTGCATTGCATGTGTGTATTGAGGGGGTGGCAGAATGATCAGTCATGAACTCATAATGACAGAAGGTATTGTCCAGAAAGTGATGGTTGGGGTGGGAGAAGTGGAGTTCCAAATTGTTCAGCTCAACAATGGAGGTGGGGTTAATCCAAGGAACAGTTACTCCAAAGAAAGACCCATCTGGGAAAATGAGATGGCAGTGAAAGGGAAGAGGTCCTCTTTTATTAGTTTCCATCTCACTCCCTCTATTCTAGTCACATTGGACTCTTTACTATTGCTGAGATGCACCAGGCATGCTTCCTCCTGCTAAGGGCCTTTGACTGGCAGTTTATTCTTTCCGGAACACTCTTCCTTCAGAGAATCACATGGCTGATGCCCTCAACAACTTCAAGTCCTTGTTCAAACACCACCTTCTCAATAAGGCCTATGCAGGTTATCTAGTTAAAAATTCCTAGCTACCCTCCCTGGCATTCCCAACCCCCCTTACTCTGTTCTATTTATTTTTCTCTATCACTTATCACTTTCCTATACACTACAGAATTTGGTTATGCATCATTGTTTATTGTCTTTCTCTCCCAACTAGAAGTTTGAGTTCATTAAGGAAATATTTTGTCATTTGTTCACTAGTGTACCTCAAGCCTACTATACTATACATCATGGGCTCTCAACAAATATGTGTTGAATGAATGAATGAATGAACCGTCAGCTCAAGAGAAATTTCAGCAAAGTGAATATGAAAAAATATCTGGCATACATAGGGGACCTGTAGTGTTTGCCTCTGGCAATTATCTTCCACCCCTTCATCTCACAGGGTACTACATTAGTTCTTAATCAATTTCTTATAGTCAGTTGTGAGATATGTTTCAAAGGTAAGTTATAATTAATAATTATAATACCAAGGTTTGCAATTTGCTTAAAAGACAACAGACATCTCAACTTGAACTCCAGTTTACTTTCTTGAGTGGGACAAAAAGTGATAGAGCCACACGTAAATGCATGGACTCGTGCATCTTACACGTGTGCATATCATCCATTGTGGAGATCTCAGAATATTAAAAAGCTGTAATCACTAGGCTATCAAAGCTCTGATCTGACAAAAAGTAAAATGACAGGAAATCTAAACTCTTCCAGTCTTTCTTTGTCTAAACACAAAAGATATGGCTAGAGTCTCATATAATCTTTGACAGCAGGGAGAGATCCAAGATGGCTGAATAGGAACAGCTCTGGAGTGCAGTTCCCAGGGAGAAGAATGCAGAGGGTGAGTGATCACTGCATTTCCAAATGAGTTTTTACTGCCCACAGACCAGGAGATTCTGGGGCTAAAAAGCACCATGAGTTTCCAGCATGGCTATTTCAGCTGGCTCTGCAGGTGTCTGCATAAAAATTCATACAAATCCGGGCGGCCATTTCAACATTCAACTGAAATAAAGGGGGTTGAAACAGGGAGCCAGGTGATCTGGCTCAGCGGGTCCCACTCCCAAAATGACCAGAAATCTGAAACTCTCAGGGTTGAGAGTTTCGTAGCAAGTGCAGCTGGACCTGCGACAGTCCAGCTCAGTGGGAGGAAGGGCTTCGGCCACTACCAAGGCAATCTGCCACTACACCAAGGCAATCCGCCATTACCAAGGCAATCCGCCACTACCAAATCAATTGCCATTACCCAGGCAATCAGCCATTACCGAGGCAGTCCACCATTACTGAGGCAATCTGCCTTTACTGAGGCAGTCCGCCATTACTGAGGCAGACCACCACTACCGAGGTAGTTCTAACAGGAAGTTCACACAACAGCTGGGCAGAACCCACAGCAACTCAGTAATGCCTCTGCTGGCAGACTGTGGCTAGACTACCACCTTGCTCGGCAGGGCGTCTCTGAAAAAAGGCAGCACCATGTCAGGAACTTATAAATAAAAATAAAGCCCCACCTTCCCAGGACAGAGCACCTGGGGAAAAATGTGTTTATGAGTTCTGCTGCAGCAGACTTAAAAGTACCTGCCAGGAGCTCTGAACAGAACAACGGAGCTCCCAGCTCAGCACTTGAGCTCCTATAAGGAACAGACCGTCTCCTCAAGCAGCTCCCTGACCCCTGTATATCCAAAAAAACACCTTGTAAAGGAGACCTCAGGCTGACATCTGGCAGGTATCCATCTGGGACGAAGATAACAGAATAAGAAACTATCAACCATCATTGCTGTTCTGTAGCCCCCGCAGGTGATCCCCAGGCAAACAGGGTCTGAAGTGAACCTCTAGCAGGCTACAGCAGAGGGGCCTGACGGTTATAAGGAAAACTGAAAAACAGAAAAAAATAACTTCAACATCAACAAAAAAGGATGTCCACTCAGAGACCCCATCCAAAAATCACCAACTACAAAGACCACAGGTAGATAAATTCAAAAAGATGGGAAGAAACCAGTGCAAAAAGGATGAAAACACCAAAAACCAGAACACCTCTCCTCCTCCAAGGGATCACAACTCTATACCAGGAAGGGAACAAAGCTGGATGGAGAATGAGTCTGATGAATTCATAGAAACAGATTTCAGAAGGTGGGTAATAACAAACTTCTCTGAGCTAAAAAAAACATGTTCTAACCCAATGCAAAGAAACTCCAGAGCTTCTGTACAACAAAAGCAACAATTATTAGAGTGAACCAGCAACCAACAGAATGGGAAAAAATTTTTGCAATCTACCCATCTGACGAAAGGCTAATATCCAGAATCCACAAAGAATTAAAACAGATTTACAAGAAACAAACAAACAAACCCATTCAAAAGTGGGTGAAGGACATGAACAGACACTTTTCAAAGGAAGACATATATGAGGCCAACAAACATATGAAAAAAAATGCTCATCATCACTGGTCATTAAATGCAAATCAAAATCATATTGAGATACCATCTCATGCCAGTTAGAATGGCAATCATTAAAAAATCTGGGGACAACAGATGCTGGAGAGGATGTGGACAAATAGGAACACTTTTACACTGTTGGTGGAAATATAAATTAGTTCAACCATTGTGGAAGACAGTGTGGTGATTCCTCAAGGACCTAGAAATAGAAATTCCATTTGACCTAGCAATCCCATTACTCGTTATATATCCAAAGGATTATAAATCATTCTATTATAAAAACACATGCATACATATGTTCACTGTGGCACTGTTTACAATAGCAAAGAGCTGGAACCAACCCAAATGCCCATCGATGATAGACTGGACAAGGAAAATGTTGCACATCTATACCATAGAATACTATGCAGCCATAAAAAATGATAAGTTTGTATCCTTTGTAGGGACATGGATGAACCTGGAAACCATCATTCTCAGCAAACTGACACAAGAACAGAAAACCAAACACCGCATGTTCTCACTCATAGGCGGGTGTCGAACAATGAAAACACCTGGACACAGGGAGGGGAGCATCACTCACTGGGGTTGGTTGTGGGGGGACTAGGAGAGGGACAGCAGGGGGCAGGGAGGTTGGGGAGGGATAACATGGGGAGAAATGCCAAATATAGGTGACGGGGGGATGGAGTCAGCAAACCACATTGCTATGTATGTACCTATGCAACAATTCTGCATGATCTGCACATGTACCCCAGAACCTAAAGTACCATAAAATATATATATACATTTTTAAAGTATTTCAACAGCCCAACTCCCAAAACTCCATGCTAACATCTTTATATATTATTTCCATGGTGTTATTAATAATCTTTATTTTCTAGGCCTCATATTTTCCAGTGTTATTTACATTCATTTGGGATATAATTAATGCTTTCATTCCATCTTAATAAATCCATCACTCTTAAAAAAAATCTTTGACAGCAGCTGTTTCAACACCAAATATTGGACAAATAAACAACTTTATCTGTAAGAAAGGGCAGACATGATATCTCCAAACACAGGAAAAGATAAAGGCAAACGGGATTAAGAGCAAATGTCCTTTGATGGACAATTTTTGGTATCCACTTAATAATTTCTATGCGTTTTAAAACTTTTTTATCTGAAAATGAGTTCCAATTTTTTAAGTTGTAGGAAAAAAATAGTAAAAAAACAGTTGTGTGTCTTTCAACTTTCACAGGTATCGATATATCTCTATACTGTTTATCTTTGCCTTTTGTTGACATTTTACCCATTTGCTTTATCATTTGCATTAACATGCTCTGTGCATGGCCATGTGTATGTACACACAGACACACACAGACACAATTTTTCTCTGAACTATTTAAGGCCATGTTACATAAATCCTCAAAGTATGCATTTCCAAAAAATAGGGATATTCTTTTACATAACCACAGTGCAACTCAGAATTTCATATATTATATTGATATAATATTTTAATCTACTGTCCATGTTTCATCAGTTGACCTAATAATATCATAGATAGCATTTTTTTTTTTTTGCCTCAATTACAGCATCTGGTCCAGGGTCAAATACTGCATTTGTCATGTCTCTTAGCTTTTTTTTTCTTTTTCTTTTTTCTTGAGAGCACCAAATCCTAACCCTGTTAGCTTTTTTTAATCTGGAACATTTCCATAGCCTTTCTTTCTTTTGTAACAGACATCTTTGAAGTATACAGTCCCTTTTTGCCATTTTTTTGTTGTTGTTCATAAAAAGCCTCATATTGTGTTTTTATGATTTTTGAATATGATACTCATTTTCAGCTGGACTACTGCATAGGTGATATTGTATCCTTCTCCAGTATCACATCTGAAGGTATATGATATCCATATGTCCTTCATTGGTGATGTTAATTTTTAATCACCTGGTCAAATTGTTGTCTGATCTCCCCACTAAGTGTTTCTTTTTCTTTTTTTACAACTAATAAGTGATCTCAGGGAGAAACCCTCTAAGATAGTGTAAATATTCTGCTCCTCATCAAATTTGCCCCAGATTTGGCATCTGTTGATCCTTACCTGATATAGTAATTACCATGATGGTTGCAAAATGATAATTTTCCTACTCCAGCCTTCCTCCTACATTTGCCAGTCAGTTCTTGGCAGTTTACTGTAACGATGAGTCCTCATTTCTCTCTCATTGCTAATACCAATTTATTATTATTATGGATAATAAATGCCTTTACTTCAATAACTTAGAATTTATTACTGTACTTACTTCAGTGATCAAATTGTTCCAGATTTAGCCAGTTGATATCCTTCTGAATCCTTGTGACATGCTCTCATCAGTTTTTTAAACACTTTAATACTTTCTTACTTTCTGGCATGAAAAGACACTTTAGGTTCATCTTATACCTACCCTGCCACAGCCCTGGTATCATCCATTTCTTTAAGGAGCCCTGCTTCCCTTTAGTGGGGAACGGTATTAGCAATGAAGATCTGAGCACATTGCGGCTTCTTGCTACTGGGGTTTCTTTGCTTCTTGTCCTCTTCAGCAGACAGAGGTAGCAAATGTATACATATGTATACACACATAAACATACAGTCACATGCATATACATGTGTACATAAGCATGCATACACATACAAAATGTGTTTTAAAACGCAATAGAAATATAAAATGATACCATAGGAAATGGAAGCTTATAAACAAGCTCGCAACATTTTTTCAGAACTCAAGATAAAAGGAGTAAAGGAATGAATGATTTGATAAAGAAGATAAGAGAAATGAGTAAGAGAGATCCAGTAAATCCAACATACATCTAAGAGTTCTGGAAGGAAGGCCAGGCACTATGGCTTACACCTGTAATCCCAGTGCTTTGGGAGGCTGTGACAGAAGGACTGCCTGAGTTCAGGAGTTCAAGACCAGCCTGGGCAACATAGCGAGTCCTCATCTCTACAGAAAAATACAAAAATCAGCCATGCACGGTGGCACACACCTGTAGTCCCAGCTACTCAGGAGGCTGAGGTGGGAGGATCCCCTGAGCCTGAGAGGCTGAGGCTGCAGTGAGCTGTGATCACAACACTGCACTCCAGCCTGAGATCCTGTCTCAGTTGTTTGGTAATGGCTCCGATATTGACTCTGGTCTCCTTTCAGAGCCCACAAAGTTCTTTAAGAACAGAAGGGAACCAGCTTACCTTCACTACTGTATGGAAGAAATGAGACCAATAGTTCTGATCTGGTCGCCTCCAGTGTACTAGTGGGGCCCTCAGTAGCCTCCTCCCTATACCACATTGGCTGGAGGCAGTGATCTGCTGGAGCATGAAGGCCTACTCTTATTTGGGGCCTGTTGCCTGGGGCAGGACTGTGTTGAACAGGGCTATACAAAGGCTAAGTTCTATAAGGAGGGCACCCTTACATTTCTCCTGCACATGCTTTTAGCCCCTGACCCCATCACATTCTGATGGAACATTCACTTGTTTGCTTTCTCTATCAGACTGTGAGCCCCTATATCCTCACCCTAAGCATAACACCTGACATGGTCAATATATGATGTTTTCATCCTGCAATTTTCATTTATAAAAAATACCAGTGAAGGTATGTGATTCCCAAGGCTTGCTTGGTGTCATACAGGAACAGAAAGCTGAGTCTCAACTCTTAATTTCAGTTGAAGGGTCTATCACAGAGTGATAATGGAGGGTGTGGGGATCCTCAGTACCAGTGAAGATGGCATAGGCGAGGTGCACTTCACTGAGGTCGCTGACTGTGTTCTGGAACTGACGCTCTAGGGAGATGAGCTGGTGTTCAGTACTCCTCTGATCTTGTGTGGGGTCCATAAAGGGACCAGAGAGGGCCCTCCCAAGCAGGCCTTCCAGCTCTGCCAACGCTGCTGCCATCAGCTGCTGCAGCTTGGGCATGATGGAATGTCGCTTGTTCAGCAGGAACTCTGAAGCCTGGCTTTTCTCAAACTGAAATGCATCCCACATATCCAGAAGCTATGGGGCAAGCAGAGGGCAGTGGAACAGATGTGGTTGTTGGGGAGAAGGGTGGGGGTGGGGATGGGTGACTCCCTGAATTGCCTTCTCACCGAGATGTCCAATGCTTCATTCTCAGCACTGAAGAGGCTAAAGTGGTTGCGGATGAGTTCATGAAGTGCCCGTATGTATTCCATTCGCTCCTCCAGCTCGATGTACTTTTCATTGGCATCATTCAACTGCAGGAACTACAGCATGAGACCAGCACCCCCAAAACCCTACATGCCACTTTGGGCCCATCCCTAAGGGGAATTCCCACCTTTTGGAGTGAAGTCGTCAGACCCAGTTGCAGCCTTGTAGCAAACTGGAATCAGGGGCAATCTGGGATCAAATCCCTCTCTGACCCAGATCTCTCTGGTGAGGGGTCCACTTCTCACCCACCACACCATTACCCTGATGACAAGGCAAAAATTTTCTATCTGACTGTCACAGAGAGCAGAACTCTCTCATCACACCAGGGCCTCCCTGTGACATGAGGAACCTGAGGGCCACATGGACAGGATAAGAATAGGCAAGGGTAGATCACTTAGGTGAGCACAGTTTAAGAGCATCAAGTCCTGCCGAAAGCCCAGCAGAGACCTGAAGAGAGTGTGCTGAGCTTTTGAGCAGGATGCGCCCTGGTTAAGCAGGGAAGGATGAATGGGGAAAGCCCACCTTCTGGGTGCACTGTGCAATGGCGTGAATATCTGAGTTGATGGTTTGGAAGACATGCATGAAATCTGTGAGCTCTGTCATGAGCTGTTGACTGCGGCTCCAGCATTCATTTTGCACCTGTGCAAGAATGTCCTCCCTTATGCTGTTCAGCTTGGATTCTGTAGACAGGAGAGTAAGGTGTGAAGGGATGCATAAAAAAGAAGGGGTGCTGGGACAGTGCTGTGGTTCCAGAGTGGGAGTAGGCTGAATGGCAGGCCAGACCATGAATTATCTCATCAAATGCTTGTTGGATACCTGCTCAATGTCCAGCCAGCTGCTATGCACTGCAAACTGTGCCCTATACTGGTAGGCAAGAGCAAATGAATGAGACAGAAAGTTTCCCTACCCTGAAATCTCATAATATGAGGCAGAGTCAGACATATAAATGAGCAATCACAAATCAGTGTGATAAATCCATTGTGAGTGCCTGGGAGCCTTCAGCCAGCATAGCTCAGAGGTGAGGGTGCAGGGGGTATTCTGAGATGGCTGGGCAAGATCTCCACAGAGAAGGGAACATTGGAGTTGGATGTGTTGTGTAGTTAATGCTCCAAAAAGATTAAACAGTGTGTGTAAGGGTTTGGAAATGACATATTTGTGAATAGCAGAATACCCTAGCAGAGATAAAAGCATTCTGCTTTTGGAGTCTTAACTGCCTTTCTCTAGAAGAAGGGGGACCAAGAAGGTGGTATGATCTGCCTTTTGTTTTTAAGGATTAAAGTAAAGAAGGTCTCAGGTGGATAGGGGGCTAGAAGATAATCCTGGAAGCTGCCCTTGGTAGTATAATTATTATCTCAGAGGGCATGGATAACACCCATATGATACCTCATAAAATCTAAGATCTTATTGTAAGAAGCAGCATTATTTAATTTAATTTAATTTAATTTAATTTAATTTTTTTGAGACACAGTCTCACTCTGTCACCAGGCACCAGGCTGGAGTGCGGTGGTGCGATCTCGGCTCACTGCAACCTCTGCCTCTCAGGTTCAAGAAATTCTCCTGCCTCAGCCTTCTGAGAAGCTGGGACTAGAGGCATGCGCCACCACACCCAGCTAATTTTTGTACTTTTTAGTAGAGACGGGGTTTCACCATGTTGGCCAGGATGGTCTCAATCTCTTGACCTCATGATCCACCCACCTCGGCCTCCCAAAGTGCTGGGATTACGGGCGTGAGCCACCGTGCCCAGCCAGCACCATTATTTTATATACCACTAACAACAACAACAAAAAAAACTGATGCCATCTAAACTCTAACACGTCTTTAATCATGAGACACCTTTAAAGTTCAGAGATGTTAAAATATGCACAGAATAGGAAAATACAATATAGAAATATGGTACACCCAGCAGAGTACAGAGTGGTTTCTACATACCAGACACTATTTCAGGTACTTTAATTATACTAACCCATTTTATCCTCACAAGTCTCTTTGAAGTAAATACTATTATTTTACAGATAGACAAACTGAAGCTCAAAGAGGTTATGTAACTTGATCAACATCACACAGTGGCAGAACAAGCATTCAAACTCGGGCCGTATGGCTCCACTCCATTATATTTTAAATATAAATATGTTTATGTTATAAATATAAATGTAAACATAGATAAAACATATGTTTATAAAAAGTACTTAAATATATAAATATATATTTTATGTTATGTGTAAAGTAAGCTGGCCGATCCCCTATTAGCATCTCTGCAACTAGAAAGTAAAATAGTGAGTTTGGGGGACAGATAATTGAGACATAATATCACTTTCAGAGATTTGGAGGAAGTAACCAAGACAACTGGGTACTTAGATCTGAGATTGAGAAAACCTACTGAGAGAAAGCCTATTGAGGGACAACCTATATTAAACAGAACATGAACATGTAAACTCATCCTTTTTCACACCCTCCCTTTGGAACATAACAGTAACTAGGCCATTGCAATGGTGCTGCTTTTGGACCAGTAGCGACAGGCTGAAGGCAGATGGGAGCTCAACAGTGACACCGTATGGTATAAAGGAGCAATGGATTGATAAAATACCAGAATTTGGGATTAGAAGCTGGAGATAGATAAAATACAGATTTAAGAGATACTTAGGAGGCAGAAGAATGACAAGGATTTGGTGACAGGTTGGATGTAGTAAGGTCAAGGAGAGGGAGGAGTAAAGGTTGACCCCAAGTTTCTGGTGAAGCTAACTCATCGGAGTGTTTAATTACACCATTTGTTGTTCAAGGGAGCTCAGGAAGAAGAGAAACAACAGATCAGCAAGAAGGATGAGAGTAGACAGAAGGGGATAAGGTGAAATGAAAAAATTATTAAGCACCTACTGAACGCCACACTCAATGCTAAGAATATTGCAAATAATATCTCATTTAATCCTCCTTACTATAACCCTGTGAGTGATTGCGTTATCATGCCCAGCTTACAAATAAAGAAACTAAAACACAGTAATCTGAAGTTACAAAGCAAGTGAAAAACAGAGACAGGGTTCTAAATCCAGTGCTTATTTCTCTCTACCTGCTTCTCTTAAAGAGGCCAGATGGTCCTGGACTGAGGATCAAAAAGTTAACAAGCTGGGACAACAGTGAGCTTCTGGAGCAGCAGTGAAGTAAAGCCTGATCAAAACAGGGCCAGAAAGAAAGCAAAAAAAATCATAGGTCTTCCTGGTTCCTGCCTTGCCAGCCTGAACCCTCTGTAGAAGAGCAGGGAGTTTTAGTGAACCATTGGATACCTAACGATACATGTGCTTTCATCTGTTGAGAGCCAAGACAGGGAAGGCTAAGTAAGCAGGGCATTCAAGCAAACTCTTTCCAGGCCACAGTTCCAAGGCTTCTAATCTTCATAAAGAAAGTAGGCCTGGGAAGCCATGGGTCCAATAGAATCTAGTCTCTGCAGGAAGTAGATACTATTGGCTATTGCTATCCTTGAGGCTAGCTGAGGAAAGAGAACAACCTCCATATTTCTTAAAAGAACAAATCACTGGCTTCCCAATCTATCCCATTGTAAGCCTGTCTAACATGAGCTCCTAGGCTGAGGCACTTAGTTAGTACACAATAGCATGAGATAGCCTTCCCATGGGAAGGGAGAAAGAGAAAAGAGGGTAAAAGACTAGGTCATAAGCTAGATTTCTCAGAGACCCAGGGATACCAACAATTGGGCCTCGGCTTAGTAGGTGTAGTAAGTGGCATGGGGAGGGAACCTGAGGTAAGTTGAGGAGAAAATAGTAGAATGCTCTTGAGCCCCAATTTCCATACAGAACTTTGGGAAGAGACCACCTTTTAGGGTGCCCCTTGGTAACATGAAACAGTCACAGCAGAGCAGAAATCATAGTGTTATGTTTTGTAGTAAAAAGAGGGGCAGATATAATGCTTATCAGTTTCCCACAGCTTCAAAATGGCAGGGGATACAGAAGATAGCAGAGAGTTGATAGCCAGTGGGCCTGGATGAAGTTCATGTGTTGAGGAACGCTGAAGCAAAAGCCATGGGGGTAACCGGCCTAAGACACAGACTGGATGAAGGATTCACTAAAACCCCAAGGATCAGCCATGCCAGCAAATACAAAGGCAAGGACGGGTCAGCAAAGATAGGCACTTCAGGCCCCTATTAGGCCAAGAAAACACACCCCAGCTCTATAATCCCAGGACACAGCAGCACCAGAAGCAGCAATGTCAGGAGGGCAGAGACCATGCAAGGATGTATGAAACCTCAGAAGCCAGCCCACTGGCCTACACCAGTAAAGGTGACACCTTGGGAAGGAAAAGGGAGCAAAAGACATTTGAGAGTAAAAACAACCCAGAACTAAAGTATAAACTTTCAATTGCCCAGATACCCCAAATAGAATGAATCAGACCAAAAGTGACTGCTTTAAATAAAAGGAGCTTTCTTTAATTGGAAAGGTTACATTCTCACTACCAGTGGAAGTTAGGACTACACCGTAAGACAAGATTAGTTAAAGAGAGTAGCTTTTTACATATGCAAAATGTAGTATAAATTTCACTCTGCTACATGCAAAGAGAAGGCATCATTGATTCCCAAGAATCTCTGTAAAGACACTGAGCTTACTAACCCAAGCACAGGAACATAATGCCTAAGGAATACAAGGAATGAGCAGAGCCAAAACAGAGAGGTGCCCTCTGCAGCGAGCATATCTTTCACCGCAAAGGGAAAGGCCTGGAACCTCGGGCTTTCGAAGGCTTCATAGGTCCAATAAGAGGCCTGCACCAAAGGTCTCTGGAGGACATTCCAGGACCAAGACAGGCCATGTGAATAGACATACAGAAGGAGGAAGGAGGAGAGGGAGGAGAAGCAGTACTCACCCATCTCTGCCTGTACATCATGGCAGCTAAGCAGCAGCAACTTGCCTTTTGTGAGCAACTCTACAGGCATGTTGGAGACACGGGCCTGCCAAACATTCAGGCGGCTCACCAGCATCACATAGTTCTTGATGGGACAGCCTCTCATGTCTTCCAGTTTCTGAGGCCCCCAGGATTGCAGGAATTCATAAATGCCTGTTATCCAATGATGTTCCCTGCAGAATTCCTGCACCTCCCGCAGCATACCCTAAGGGCAGACAAAGTGTGTAAGGCAGAAGCAGGTGGCTATAATGGGAATTGGTGGGCAGCACCCTACCCCTTAAACCACTGTTCTTACCTCCAGCAGCACCCATTGTATGTTCAGTGCCTGCTGGATCTGAGGGTTGTTGTCCAAGTCTTCTTCCAGCTGCTTATAACTGTGGGGCAAGTACTGGCCCCGCAGCCGATACCCGCGGACCTCCAAGATACCAGCAATTGGGTGAGACTTCCAGGGCCATACCAATCCTACATTTGGGCCACAGAAGATGCTCACAGCATTGCTGGGCTGGCCATGAAACTTGGGCATCAGAAATTCGGTTTTTGAGTTCTCCTCTTCATCTTCTTCTAGTGGAGCAAATGCCGTAATGGTCAGTGAGTACCCTCCAGAGTCCACAAACAACCTTCCTTTCTCTTTGTCCTCAGTGTGTACACACACACACACACACACACACATTCTCTGCCCATAAGTAAGTTAACACATACTTCCATATCACCAATATAAAATACTAGACCCAAGGAGGGGATTTATTAGTTAGAGTTCATGTGCAAATAATAGAAATTACTCTAGCCAGTCTAAGCAGGAAGGGACTTATTATAGAATATTAAATGGGTTGCAGACTAATTAGGAGAGCTAAAATACAAAACCACTCTAGGTTGAGCATTCAGGGCCATGTGCTGCCTGGCAAAATGAGATGTCACTGTCACACCATTAACTACAAAACACACTGCCTCTGCTATGATCCACAGAATGGATGGCATATGCCCTGCCTCTTTTCCCAACTTAATTCAATTCTGAATCGAGGTCTTTTGTAGGTCTAACTGGTAGGTCCTAAACTGTATATGACACCTAGCTGAAGAGGGGTCTGGGAAGTGTAGTTTGTAGTCTCCAGCATCTGCAGAACAGAGGAGTTGGTGAAAAGGAATGTTGAACATGTCCCAGTTATTGGTCTTAAAGAATATTCTTGAACCTGGCCACTCCTTAACTCTTTAGAAACTGGTTAAATGACAAGTCTAGTATTTATGTTAAAACTTCACAGAGAATAAAGCAAAGAATTAAAATGCTCAGAAATAAGAGTGATACTATCCACACCCAAGCCTGTAGCACTCTTAGCTGATCGCTTCTCTTCTCCAACTGCAGTCACTCTCTAGGAAATCTCATCCAGCTTTATGGCTTTAGGTACTATATATTTGCACCCAAATTTACCTGTAGCCCAGCTCCCTCACTTAACTCCAATCCCATTTAAATAAGTGCCTACTTTACTTCTCTACCTGGATGTCCAACATGCACCTCAAATTTAACAGGGCCAAAATGAACTCTAATTCTCCCCACAAAACTACAGTCTTCCAATTTCAGTAAATGGAAAATTTGTTCTTCCAGGTTCTCCAATCAAAATCTTTATAGTCACCTTTGACTCTTTTTCACACACAACACATCCCCCCATTTAAAAATCCTGTTGTCTCTACTTTAGAAATATATCCAGAATCCAACCAATTCTCACCACATTTACCACCATCTGTCCTCCTCTCCCAGCCCAGTTCACCATCATCTCTCACTGCATTATTGCAACATCCTTCTAACTTTTCTCCCTGCATTGGCCCTTGACTCCTACACCTTATAGTCTCTGCTCCATATAAGAACAAGAATTATCCTTTTTAAAAAAAATGCCAGAAAGGATTCTGAGGTGATGGCCAAGGCAACATCATTTTGAGATCTCCCCCAAATGCCCACACAAAAATGACAGAACAATTAGACAGTAAAACCAAAAGCCCAAGGATAACATTTTTAACAAATGAGCACAGGGGATCCTCACAAATCCTAAAATACAAGTAGGTGGGGACAAACCACCTGCAACCTCAAAACACACATGGCATCGCCATTTGTGATGAATGACGCAGAGGGAAACAATGAAGCAACAGATGGACTTAAGAATAAGAAAACCCCCAAATAGCCATCAAGCATTTACTGGGAGGCAGAGGGCCCATTTGAGAACAGCAGGTAAAACTGGAGGGCGGTCTTACCCCCTCCAAGAATGAGTGAGGTCTGTAGAAGCTTAAGTAATCTATGCGCTGTGTACTCTTGAAACCAGTCAGGGCTCCCTTTTGGGACAGAGCTTGACCTGGAGAAAATGCTGGGAGTAGAATAAGGATTGAGCAGCAGTAGAGAAAAAGGAAAAGTCTAGAAAAAGGAAGGGGAGGGAAACCAGAAAATCTCAGAAGGTAACCCATCATTTTTTTTAATACAGAAAAACAATAGAAAGTGAAACAGAGATTAGAGAACTATTTTGAGCCAAGTCTTCTTTTGAAAGTTAAGAAAAGCTAAAATTTCCAGTCTTCTATAAGCAGTAGAAAAGTATCAACATCAAACCTCATATCAAGCTTTTATAAGAAAAAAAAAAAGCAAGGTGTAGAATAAATTCTCTAAAGAGGCAATGAAAGCATGTCAAAAACGAGAGCAAAACTATAGCTTATTTCAAAACAAGTTAAAAGACACTGGAAAAATGATAGAACTCATGAGAAGACACATATCAGAATTAGAAAAACTCCGAAATTATGTGACAGACTACAGAAAGAAATAGAAATAAAAGAAAAATTTCATAACGGAAATTTAACTGAAATGGAACATAAGAGCAAACAAACTCGACAGATAATTTCTTAAGAAAAACAGAAGGGAAAAATAAGGGTAATTATACAACTAAAAAGGAAATAAAAATTTTTAAAATATTTTGAGAGAAAGGGAGAAATATTGGGGATAGGGGATAAGGATCTATCTAATGTATCAGTAACACGATTCCCTCAAGAAAAAACAAAGAAAGGGAAGAGAACAAATATTAAAAACCTTAATTCATCCAGGGCCGGTGCTGGGAAAGAGGTGGGGGGAAGACTCAGGGCGCGACGGCGGCTCAAATTCCAATTGTGGCCACCGCTTCCGCTACTCGAATAGTCCGGAACAGCAAGAAGAGACCGGCCAGCCCTGCCCACAGCAGCAACAGTAGCGGCGGGGACTATGGTGCCCGTAAAGAGGAAAAAGTGTCCGCCTCCAGCTTTGTGCAGGGTATCAGCATAGAAGCCACGAGTCGGAATAAAATGGTGCCCTCTGAGTTTAGCAGAGGACCTGTGGAAAAAGCTGCCAAACCTTTGCCATCTAAGGATCCCAACTTGTGCACTCTGGCCACGGTGGCGCAGTAGCTGGCAGGAAGAACAGAACCTGGAAGAACCTGAAACAAATCCTCGCTTCAGAAAGGGCGTTGTGGGGCAACTGAACAGTCCTCACTACTTCAGTATTGATGCACCTCCATCCTTTAAGCCAGCTAAGAAGTATTCCGATGTTTCAGGTCTTCTTCCCAACTACACAGACCCCCAGAGCAAACCGCGGTTCAGCACCATGGAAGACTTGTCCCACATTCGGAGGCTACCCTCCGACGTTGTCACCAGCTACCTGGACCTGAGGAAAGCCACTAGTGTCGTTCCCTAAGCCCGAGAAATGGAGATTAAGTGGAAAGCTGTTTCAAAAACAGACTCTGGGCTCGTGATTTTGTTTCATGAAAACAAACTCGTTCTGCTGTCAATCTGAAAATGCTAGTACTGTGCCTTGGAAAGAAAGTTTGACTTTAATTTAAGGGTGTTTTTGAGTGTATATTTTCCCTCAGAGTGATAGTTCCTGCTGAATTAAATTACACTTCAATTGTTGCCTCAAGTAAAGGTGTTTGACAAAAAAATACAATAAAGTCATACTTTTCATTAAAACAAAACCTTAATTATGGAAAATTGTTCTGAAATTTAAAAAAAGATATAATGTCACATTTTGAAATAACATACCTGAAAATCCTTCCCCAGAATGTTCCATACCAACATATATTCTAACTAAAATAACTAGATTTCAATAAAAAAGAAAAATATGTAGGCAAAAAAACAAGTGATTTTGTAAAGAAAATAAGATTAGATTATCAGAAGCTTTTTGATAGCAACTCATAATGCCCTAAGAAAACAGAATAACATATTTAAGATATGCAAAGGAAAACAGTGTAACACAATTTTATATCCAGCAACACTAACTTTCAAAAGGTACAAACTGTTATCAACATAGAAGAACTTCAGAATTTTGTTCCTACAAGCCTTTCCTGAGGAATTTAGTAAAAAGTGACCTTCAAACAAAATCACTAGAGACATCAACATAAGGACTGCTGGTAGGCTTAAATATATTGTTACTTACAGAACTAAGACTAAGTGAGGGATAAGGAAGGAGTATAGTATGAAATGACGATGTAGAGAATGCTGGTGGTTCTCTTGCTTGCCAGGTGGACAAAGCCTACCTGAAGAATGGAACTCTGAAGGCACATTGTTTGATTACCCAATAGCTATTCCCTTCTCCCTTCCTCTATGGTTGTAGAAACCATCTTCCACAAGGCACTGAGAATGTCGGCCATTTGGTTTCCCAGCCTTTCTTATAGCTAGAGTTAGACACATGCTGCAGATTTTGATGGTGAGATGTAAAAGTGAGTCTGATAGGGAGTTTCTAGAAAAGATTCCTTTTCCTGGCAAAAAGTGAGAATCAGAAACAGAGCGCTCTTGTTAACCTTGCCTATCCTTTTCTGCCTGATTTTGCTTAAGAATGAGATGCTTGATGTTGCAGCTTGTCTTGCAACTACGAGGCAACAAGGCTGAGAATGAAGAAACAAACAAAAAAAACCAAAAACCACTTTATTGTGACCTCCTCTACCACACACACCTCTCTAACAGAACCTGCTCTTACCTATAGCTAAAAGCAGTAAGGAGTGATGGAAGGATACAAAGAACCTGGTACTTGATGACACTTTTGAGCCACTGAACAAACCTTGGAAGTACCTACTTCAATACTTCTTTTTTTATTGTTTAGGCCTCTGTGGCTGATTCTAGCTGCCTCATGAATTTCTTAGTTATAAGTACATACATAGTTTTGAGTTAAGATTATTTAATCCAAAATCAACCCCCATACTTGGGCCAATATAATAGACATTTATAGCCAAAAACAAGCATAGCTGAAGACCGTAACCTGCCCCACCACAGACAATCCTCTAAGAAGATCTGCCCTTACCTATAGCTAAAATCCAGTTATTTTGCACCATGACACATTCCTTTGCCATAGCTTATAAATAAATCATGCAGTCTACGGGAGAGACTGAATCAATTATACTCCTTGTCTTGAAAAGTTGAACTAAATCAGTCTCACGGACAGGAAAACTTAAAGAAGATCATATAAAGTCAAGGATTGAGTTGGTGTCATAAAAAGTTTAAGTTATTTGAAAGAAGTAGTAATAAGGGAGCAGAAAGCCCAAAGGAAGCAGAGATAACCGGTCTCAGGAATCAGGGCAGGGGAACTGGAAAGATGCACAGAGAGAAGAGATGAAAAAAGGATAAGCAGAAATTTGAGAGACAGGGGCTCAAATTCTGTGAAGATAGGTGCTGTTACTTCTTCTCTACCTTTGAATGCAGTAATTGTCTGTTTTGTGAGCTCCAAAATATAAGAAAAGCTTGACGAGCAGTGTTTCAAGGCGCCAAGATCTATGAGAGTGCTCAGGCAATATGGTGCTATACAGTCAATTGTGATTCCAAGCAATGGAAAGAAAAGCTAGTCTATTTTCAATGGAATTTGGCAAAAGAACATACCAACAAAACAGAAATCACTAACTTCATAGTCAAGGAAAGAATGAAATAAAACACTATTTATAGGCTGGGCGCGGTGGCTCACGCCTGTAATCCCAGCACTTTGGGAGGCCGAGGCGGGTGGATCATGAGGTCAAGAGATCGAGACCATCCTGGTCAACATGGTGAAACCCTGTCTCTACTAAAAACACAAAAAATTAGCCGGGCATGGTGGCACGTGCCTGTAATCCCAGCTACTCAGGAGGCTGAGGCAGGAGAATTGCCCGAACCCAGGAGGCGGAGGTTGCAGTGAGCCGAGATTGCGCCATTGCAGTGAGCCGAGATTGCGCCATTGCACTCCAGCCTGGGGAACAAGAGCGAAACTCCGTCTCAAAAAAAAAAAAAAAAAAAAAAACACTATTTATAATGATAAAGTGTTGTAAAAATTTTAGATATGGTATCTCTGTCACCCAGGCTGGAATGCAGTGGTGTGATCATGCCTCAGTGCAGCCCCAGACTCCTGGGATCAAGCAATCCTTCCACCTCAGTCTCCTGAGTAGCTGGAACTACAGGTGCACACCACCACACCTGGCTAGTTATAATTTTTTTGTAGAGACAGGGTCTCACTATGTTGCTCACACTGGTCTTGAACTCCTGACCTCAAGCAGTCCTCCCACCTTGACTTCCCTAAGTGCTGGGATTACAGGCATGAGTCACTGTGCTTAGCCTTAAGAAGAAATCTGAAATCAACTAAATCAAATATCAATCCAAATTGAAAGACTTTAATGACATAGATCTTTACTATAGGCTTCCTTCAATGAGTGACTCAGACATTCCACACAGAGCAAAGCTTCTTGTTAAACTTATTTATACAACTCCTCATGCCTCCAAGGTTTCTTTCTCACAGAGCAGCAAAAAAAAAAAAAAAATCTTTCCTTCCATCTCATCTATAAATCTACTCATGGTCACACTGCTTCCCTCTGTATTTCCTCTTCCTGGTCCTACTGCTCATAGAGACCTTCCCCATGCAGTCCCCTGGCAAAAAAAAAAATCATGTTTTCATTCTTTGCATTATATCTCTAAGCTAATTTCGGCCATCCCAACCAAAATGTACACCAAGACAGCATATGATGAAAATTAGTCAATGCTTTGTCTCTTTTCAGTGTAACAGATTTGTCTTACCAAAAATATCAAAAATATATTCCAATCTTAATAGGATATTGCCATATTCAAATTAATATAAGAACTTTAGGGTTTTAAAATTTGACATCTGACAAATGAGAAAAGTGATTATCTGATTGTGTTTTCTGAGTTTTGAACTGCAGAAAACTTCTCATAAGATTGTAAGGACATCAGATAGTAATATTAATACTCTCTTTTTTAGCTGTGATGTTCTCTGGAAAATGTTGGAGAACACAGTTTAAGACTGGAGAATATGTTGCAACTATTAATAATACATTGACAATTATTTTACTGAGTAGAATCTAGTCAATGTATACATTTCTATTGAAAAGGAGTTAATTTTCATATTTTTGTATGTAAGTGGAGCTATTGAAATCATTTTGCAATTTAGCTAAAGGGCCATAAAAATGTTGCCTCATTTAAATATAAGTTTTCTCAGTTGGATGTATGTTTCTTGAAGACTACTAGTAGTGTTTTAACTGCTACATATTTATCTTTATTCAAAATTTACTCCATTTTTTAATCTTTTATTCTAGGTTCAGGTGTACATGTGCAGGTTTGTTATACAGGTAAACTCTTATCACGAGAGTTCATTGGACCAATTATTTCATCACGGTACTAATCTTAGTATCCAATAGTTGTTTTTTCTGGTCCTAATCTTAGTATCCAATAGTTGTTTTTTCTGGTCCTCTCCCTCCTCCCACCTCCACTCTCAAGTAGGCTCCAGTGTCTGTTGTCCCCCTCTTTGTGTCCATGAGTTCTCATCATTTAGCTCCCACTTATAAGAGACAAAAGCAAACACGACAAAAGCAAAAATTGACAAATGGGATCTAATTAAACTTAAGAGCTTCTGCACAGCAAAAGAAACTATCAACAGAGTAAACAGACAACCAATAAGGGGGAGAAAATATTTGCAAACTATGCATCTGACAAAGGTCTGATATCTAGCATCTATAAGGAACTTAAACAAATTTACAAAAAAAATCATTAAAAAAGGACGTGAACAGATACTTTTTAAAAGACATACATGCAGCCAACAAGCATATGAACAAAAAGCTCAATATCATTGATCATTAAAGAAATACAAATCAAAACTTTTTACTTTTTTTAAAGAATTTAAGGACAATAGAACTTTGGTCTGGCTAGGCATGGTGGCTCATGCTTGTAATTCCAGCACTTTGCAATGCCAAGATGGGAGGATTGCTTGAGGATAGGAGTTCAAGACCAGCCTGGGCAACACAGCAAGACCCCCATCTCTACAAAAACTTTAAAAATTAGCCAGGCATGGTAGTATGTGCCTGTAGTCCCGGCTACTTGGGAGGCTGAGGGGAAAAGATCACTTGAGCCCGGGAGGTTGAGGCTGTACTTCTGCACTCTAGCCTGGGTGAGAGTGAGACCCTGTCTCGAAAACAAACAATAAAAAGAACTTTGGTTTTGATTACTCCATGATATTAACCTGATTTTCCATTCATATCTTTTTTCTTCAAATTTTGTAAAAAAGTTTGAAGAATGGTACCATGAACACCCTTATCCAACCACTTAGATTCAACAGCCATTAACATTTTGCCACACTGTATTATTTGTTTTTCCTTCTATCTTTTCACTGTCCTAAACAATCTGAAGGTAAGATACAAGCATCATGACATTTCACCCCTTAACATATCAGTCCATGTGCTTTTTTAAAAGTAGAAGGGACAACCTAAGACACGGCAGGTAAATATTTTCAGCTTTGCTAGAATTTAGAATACAAATTCAAGGGTTCTTTTGCTCCATTTAACTATTCAAAAAAATACTACAGCATATTTATAACATGAATTAGTACCACATATGAGAAATGCTGTGCAATGTCTGATTTATCTACCTCTTTAATACTAAGAAGGCACTATCTGTAGCATGTATTTCTGTATGTTGAGCACCATACTAGACACATTACCTCTTTTAAATCTTTAAAAATTCTACAGGTTAGGTATTTTCATTATTTCCATTTTGCAGACTAGTAAACTAATGAGTCTGACTCCAGAGCCTTTCTTCTTTCCACTGCACCATGTAAAACAAATAATAGTTCCTATCAATTAACCCAAATTTATTTGGGGAAAATAATGTGCCCCAACTGATGTATAATTTGTAAAAGACACAGGCTCCTTTAAATGAATCTTTTTTGTCCTTGTCACCTATTCCCTAAAATTAATGTTATGTCTTTAAATCATCTTAATGAATAGACAGAAGTTAAATGGGGAAATTAAATAAAGTATCGATGAGTCAGATGTGACTGATTGCATTTATTGATTTTATTTGTGACAGCAGAACCCTAAATAAGGGAAATGTGAAGATGTATTTCCACTCTGATGGTTAATAAGTGTGAAGATTGATAACCAATAATGCTTGGTAACCATAAAATATTTCAATAATGTCAATGAATTAATCCATATGAAATGAAAAAGAGCTATATGACATAAAGCAAGTGTTGAGCAAGCAGAGCTCTTTAAACAAGTACAAATTAACTTAGAAATAAAATTCAGTAGCAAATGAAATGAATTATAGCACTGGAGTAAAACCTCACAGAGTTTTGAATGAACCAGTTTTGGAAGGACAATGTACTCACATTCTTTCATACATCACACATAAGCACGTGGATTTGTGAGCAAAAACATTCCCTGACCCTTCTACCCACAACACACATGTACAGTACCCAGGTTAGAGCTCCACCATCCACACCCAATGTCTGACTCTATACCCGGGACCTCCTGCCTGCTTCCCATGCCGTTCGCACTTGTGCCCTTCCCCACCTTCAGCCTTCCTATCCCCTGCCTACATCTCCCTAAATACCTTCAGAATACAGGGAATCCAAGGAGGTCTTCAGGTCTGCAGACTGTATTACCTTCATGCCAGGATATGGAGAAGGGGCAGAAATGGGAAAACAATGAGGGATTCAAATCCCCTTGTAAGCTTCTGATTACTCAGAGTATAGGAACTGGGAATTCCCACAGCCAGCTCTCCGCTCAATCCAAAATACCTGCAAGGCAGAGGCCTTGACAGACTGTAGGCCTCCAGTTAGAATCTGGATCATATTTTCAACACAGGGCACATGAGACAGTTGGCCATGATCATCAAAGACCAGCTGTGATGAGAGAAAGGGTTTCTGCCTTGGGGCCTGTAAAAGAAGGGTCAGGAAAAATCAAGGGGCTAGATGTCAGTATACATTCCTCACCATCTGGCCCTGGACTGCCTGCCACCTCCACACATGCCACCCACCACCTCACTTGAAGCATGTTGGCCACAAAAGAGGTTATTTCCTCTTCCAAGATAGAAATGAGGCTCTGACAAATCATGTAGTCGACTAGGCGGGCAAATTTTCCCAGCTGCAGCCACCAGGCCTCTGCTTGCTTCAGCTTCTGCTCCAGTTGCTTGCGCTGTACCCTCTGAAGGTATATGGAGCCTTGGCCTGTCCTGATCCTGCTGCAGTTTTGCACTCGCTCCTGTAGGCCCTGTTGCATGTGGTATGTGTCCTCGTGAACCTGTGAGCATAGAGTGTAAACTCACCAGAGATAGGGGGATGGAGAGCAAACCAGCCACCCACCGGTCTGTGCAAACTCTCGGGTCTTGGAGTCTGGGACCTAGAACCTAGATGTACAGATGGAGGGTTCCTTTTTAGTAGAGTTTACCCCCATCCCAGCATCCCCTCAATTTTTCAGATTATGAGACTGATGCACTGCCCACTGCACTAAGAGGGCCTCTTATCCCCTCAATTTTTAAGTGACCAGAGGAGATGTGAAATAGAGAACATATATTGAGAAGTCACAATATGCTAATGGGGGAGGCCAGGGCTGTCTGCTGAAAACCCCCAGGGTGGAACTCAAACAGAAAATGTGTGTATATGTAAATATAGAGGTTTGCAATGCACAGAAGAGATGAAAAGAAAAAGATGGGATTAAAAAGGCTAAACATCAGTTTCAGGATATGGACTCGGAATAATAATTAGGCCAGGTGATATGGCCTGCTGAATAGCATGATATTGCTTTATGTTACCGTAAAAGCTGTTTCTGGGTACTGATATAGACTTTCTATTAGGGGAGAGGGAATGTGGAATAAAAGCCTGGGAGACTTTTTGTGGGTTCTTTTCAGATCTAGGAAGTTCCTCACTCATTTTTAAAGGCTGCTGCATAATAGTCCATGGTGTATATGTGCCATATTTTCCCTGTCCAGTCTATCATGGAATATTATGCAGCAATAAAAAACGATGAGTTTGTGTCCTTTGTAGGGACATGGATGAACCTGAAGAACACCATTCTCAGCAAACTGACACAAGAACAGAAAATGAAATACTGCATGTTCTCACTCATAGGCGGGTGTTGAACAATGAGAACATATGGACACAGGGAGGGGAGCACTACACACTGGGGTCTGTTGGGGGGAATAGGGGAGGGACAGCAGGGGGTGAGGAGTTGGGGAGAGATAGCATGGGGAGAAATGCCAGATATAGGTGAAGGGGAGGAAGGCAGCAAATCACACTGCCACGTGTGTACCTATGCAACTATCTTGCATGTTCTTCACATGTACCCCAAAACCTAAAATGCAACAAGAAAAAAAATAAAAAATAAAAAATAAAGTCTGCTGACAGTTGCCAATGCTCTGGGCTTTTACTATTGAAGAACAGAGAAGAGATACCAGAAAGCTATGCTTGGCCAGATGGATTTGTTGTCTTCCCTGCTCTCCTGTTCCTTTTGATGCTGCCTAGAGCCTGTGATCAGAACTGATTGGTGTCTGTGAATTATACTTCTGGTATTCATGAGCTCAAGCCCCAATCTTCTCAGACCCAAGCATAAGACAGGTAAGTCCTAAGCATGGAACATCATACACAAACATGCCCTATGCATATGATAATTTTGTATTTGAGACTCAGTGAGGTCTCTTCCATGTTCTGACAATACTCCCAGTACCCAGTGCTTCCCACTTCATAATCCTTAGTCCAGTGCCTCATCATTTTGTTATTTACATAACTCATCCTCTACACTGTAAGCTCTTTTAGGAGGGGAACTCTGTTATACCTTATTTCATTTTTCTATTGCTTAACACAGTGCCTGGTATGCGATAGATCCACAGTAAATGTTTGTAAGAAGAAAGCATAATCTCACATTGAAAGAGCCTGAGTGCCATTAGGATAAAATCATACAAACAACAACAATAATAATTACTAGTACCACATAACATAATCAGTAGACATTTTTAAAGCACTAGTACTAGGGGTGATAATGCCTAAATTATGAGAAAAAAATGTTTAGGATGAGCACAGTGGTTTATGCCTGTAATCTCAGCACTTTGAAAGGTCAAAGAGGGTGGATCCCTTAAGTCCGGAAGTTTGAGACCAGTCGGGGCAACATGGTGAAACCTGATCTCTACAAAAAATTAGCTAGGTGAGGTGGTATTAGCTGATATATATATATATATATATATATATATATATATATATATATATAGATAGATAGATATAGATAGATATAGATATAGATAGATAGATAGATAGATAGATAGATAGATAGATAGATATACATGCACACATATATACACATATATAGTCTATAGAATATTTGAATAAAACAGTGAATGAGCTTGGTCTAATACATATTTTCTTAGATTGGGTTCTCTAGAAGCAGACCCCAAGACAGGGATTTGGAGAAATGTGATTTACTGTAGGAATGATCTTCAGGGAAACAAGAGCCTCTAAGGGAGTGAAGAAAGCAGAACAGAGAGGCGGTAAAGTATCCAGCAAGATCTCGGCTAAATTCTATTTTTGGTCTGATCTGGAGTAGGGAAGGAGGCTTTGGAATGTTCCAATAGTATTGTAGAGTTGTCATGCCTTGAAGCAAGTAAGGGAAAAACAGGCTGAGGAACTGCTCCCTGTGAGAGAGACTAAAGAGAAGTGACCACTAAATTCAATACGTATTTCTGGTTTGGAGCCTGAAGAATGAAAAAATATAGTAATAAAGGACCAAATTTTGAATAAGATAGGAGATTAGATAACGGAGTAGTATTAAAGTGAAATTTCCTAATCTTTTTTATTTTTTATTTTTTATTGTATTTTAGGTTTTGGGGTACATGAGCAGAGCATGCAAGACAGTTGCGTAGATACACACATGGCAGTGTGCTTTGCTTTTCTTCTCCCCTTCACCCACATTTGGCATTTCTCCCCAGGCTATCCCTCCCCACCTCCCCCTCCCACTGGCCCTCCCCTTTTCCCCCCAATAGACCCCACTGTTTAGTACTCCCCTTTCTGTGTCCATGTGTTCTCATTTTTCATCACCCGCCTATGAGTGAGAATATGTGGTGTTTCATTTTCTGTTCTTGTGTCAGTTTGCTGAGGATGATGTTCTCCAGATTCATCCATGTCCCTACAAACGACACAAACTCATCATTTCTGATTGCTGCATAATATTCCATGGTGTATATGTGCCACATTTTTCCAATCCAGTCTATCATCAATGGGCATTTGGGTTGATTCCAGGTCTTTGCTATTGTAAACAGTGCTGCAACGAACATTACTGTACATGTGTCCTTATAGTAGAACGATTTATAGTCTTTTGGATATATACCCAGTAATGGGATTGCTGGGTCAAATGGATTTTCTATTTCTAAGGCCTTGAGGAATCACCACACTGTCTTCCACAATGGTTGAACTAATTTACACTCCCACCAACAGTGTAAAAGTGTTCCTTTTTCTCCACATCCTCTCCAGCATCTGTTGTCTCCAGATTTTTTAATGATTGCCATTCTAACTGGCATGAGATGGTATCTCAATGTGGTTTTGATTTGCATCTCTCTGATGACCAGTGACGATGAGCATTTTTTCATATGATTGTTGGCCTCATATATGTCTTCTTTCGTAAAGTATCTGTTCATATCCTTTGCCCACTTTTGAATGGGCTTGTTTTTTTCCTGTAAATCCAATTGAGTTCTTTGTAAATTCTGGATATCAGCCCTTTGTCAGATGGGTAGACTGCGAAAATTTTTTCCCATTCTGTTGGTTGCCGATCCACTCTAGTGACTGTTTCTTTTGCCGTGCAGAAGCTGTGGAGTTTCATTAGGTCCCATTTGTCTATTTTGGCTTCTGTTGCCAATGCTTTTGGTGTTTTGTTCATGAAGTCCTTGCCTACTCCTATGTCCTGGATAGTTTTGCCTAGATTTCCTTCTAGGGTTTTTATCGTGCCAGGTCTTATGTTTAAGTCTTTAATCCATCTGGAGTTAATTTTAGTGTAAGGTGTCAGGAAGGGGTCCAGTTTCTGCTTTCTGCACATGGCTAGCCAGTTTTCCCAACACCATTTGTTAAACATGGAATCCTTTCCCCATTGCTTGTTTTTGTCAGGTTTATCAAAGATTGTATAGTTGTATGTATGTTGTGTTGCCTCCGGTGCCTCTGTTTTGTTCCATTGGTCTATATCTCTGTTTTGGTACCAGTACCATGCTGTTTTGATTACTGTAGCCTTGTAGTATAGTTTAAAATCCGGTAGTGTGATGCCCCCCGCTGTGTTCTTTTTGCTTAGAATTGACTTGGCTATGCGGGCTCTCTTTTGGTTCCATATGAAGGTCATGGTGGTCTTTTCCAGTTCTGTGAAGAAAGTCAATGTTAGCTTGATGGGGATAGCGTTGATTCTGTAAATTACTTTGGGCAGTATAGCCATTTTCACGATATTAATTCTTCCTAACCATGAACATGGAATGTTTCTCCATCTGTTTGTGTCCTCTCTGATTTCGTTGAGCAGTGGTTTGTAGTTCTCCTTGAAGAGGTCCCTTACGTTCCTTGTGAGTTGTATTCCAAGGTATTTTATTCTTCTTGTAGCAATTGTGAATGGCAGTTCGTTCTTGATTTGGCTTTCTTTAAGTCTGTTATTGGTGTAGATGAATGCTTGTGATTTTTGCACATTGATTTTATATCCTGAGACTTTGCTGAAGTTTCTAATCAGTTTCAGGAGTTTTTGGGCTGAGGCGATGGGGTCTTCTAGGTATACTATCATGTCGTCTGCAAATAGAGACAATTTGGCTTCCACCTTTCCTATTTGAATACCCTTTATTTCTTTTTCTTGCCTGATTGCTCTGGCTAGAACTTCCAGTACTATACTGAATAGGAGTGGTGAAAGAGGGCATCCTTGTCTAGTGCCAGATTTCAAAGGGAATGCTTCTAGTTTTTGCCCATTCAATATGATATTGGCTGTTGGTTTGTCATAAATAGCTTTTAGTACTTTGAGATACGTTCCCTTGATACCGAGTTTATTGAGGGTTTTTAGCATAAAGGGCTGTTGAATTTTGTCAAATGCCTTCTCTGCATCAATTGAGATAATCATGTGGTTTTTGTTTTTGGTTCTGTTTATGTGGTGAATTACGTTGATAGACTTGCGTATGTTGAACCAGCCTTGCATCCCCGGGATGAATCCTTCTTGATCATGGTGAATAAGTTTTTTGATTTGCTGTTGCAGTCGGCTTGCCAATATTTTATTGAAGATTTTTGCATCTATGTTCATCATGG